ACGGACACGGCACCATATCTATCAGATAGACACTGCACCGTGTCTATCAAATATACATTGCACCGTGTCTATCAATAGTTATTGCACCGTGTCTATCAAATACACTGCACCGCGTCTATCAAATAGACACTGCACCGTGTCTGTCAGATTAACAGACACTGCCCTGTGTCTATCAGATAGGTCGCTGTCCTGTGTCTGTCAAATAGACAGACACTGCCCCGTGTCTACTAGATTACTAGACAGAAATGACTTGCCTGTTGAGGCGTCCATATCTCCCTGTGCAGATAGATGTGTGTGGCACTCTGTGGCCCCGTCTGGCTCTGTGGCCCCGTCTAGCTCTCTCTGGCCCCGTCTAGCTCTGAGAACTCTACTGGCCACAGCCTCGTCTACGCACCCAGTGCTACCTACGTGCGCATGCGCGGCGGGCATTCACATATTCCGTGTGGGACCACGCGCGCCTGCATACACTTTTCTCAGTGTAGAGCCTTATTGTGTTTCACTGTGTAGAGCTTTATCAAGTGGTGTTTCACTGTGTAGAGCTTTATCAAGTGGTGTTTCACTGTGTAGAGCTTTATCAAGTGGTGTTTCACTGTGTAGAGCTTTATCAAGTGGTGTTTCACTGTGTAGAGCTTTATCAAGTGGTGTTTCACTGTGTAGAGCTTTATCAAGTGGTGTTTCAGTGTGTGGAGCTTTATCAAGTGGTGTTTCACTGTGTGGAGCTTTATCAAGTGGTGTTTCACTGTGTGGAGCTTTATCAAGTGGTGTTTCAGTGTGTGGAGCTTTATCAAGTGGTGTTTCACTGTGTGGAGCTTTATCAAGTGGTGTTTCAACTGTGTGGAGCTTTCAAGTGGTGTTTCACTGTGTGGCTTTATCAAGTGGTGTTTCACTGTGTGGAGCTTTATCAAGTGGTGTTTCAACTGTGTGGAGCTTTATCAAGTGGTGTTTCACTGTGTGGAGCTTTATCAAGTGGTGTTTCACTGTGTGGAGCTTTATCAAGTGGTGTTTCACTGTGTGGAGCTTTATCAAGTGGTGTTTCACTGTGTGGAGCTTTATCAAGTGGTGTTTTACTGTGTAGAGCTTTATCAAGTCCTTTTCACTTTGTGTGTGTGTGTACTCAGTTGTACTCACCTAGTTGAGGTTGCAGGGGTCGAGTTCTATCTCCTGGCCCCTCCTCTTCACTGGTCGCTACTAGGTCACTCTCCTGAACCGTGAGCTTTATCATACCTCTGCTTAAAGCTATGTATGGATCCTGCCTCCACTACATCACTTCCCAAACTGTTCCACTTCCTGACTACTCTGTGGCTGAAGAAATACTTCCTAACATCCCTGTGATTCATCTGTGTCTTCAACTTCCAACTGTGTCCCCTTGTTGCTGTGTCCCATCTCTGGAACATCCTGTCTTTGTCCACCTTGTCAATTCCTCTCAGTATTTTGTATGTCGTTATCATGTCCCCCCTATCTCTCCCATCCTCCAGTGTCGTCAGGTTGATTTCCCTTAACCTCTCCTCGTAGCACTAGTCTTGTTGCAAACCTTTGTACTTTCTCTAGTTTCTTTACGTGCTTGGCTAGGTGTGGGTTCCAAACTGGTGCTGCATACTCCAATATGGGCCTAACGTACACGGTGTACAGGGTCCTCAACAATTCCTTATTAAGATGTCGGAATTCTGTTCTGAGGTTTGCTAGGCGCCCATATGCTGCAGCAGTTATTTGGTTGATGTGCGCTTCAGGAGATGTGCCTGGTGTTATACTCACCCCAAGTTCCTTTTCCTTAAGTGAGGTTTGTAGTCTCTGGCCCCCTAGACAGTACTCCGCCTGCGGTCTTCTTTGCCCTTCCCCAGTCTTCATGACTTTGCACTTGGTGGGGTTGAACTCCAGGAACCAATTCCTGGACCAGGTGTGCAGCCTGTCGAGATCCCTTTGTAGTTCTGCCTGGTCTTCAATCGAATGAATTCTTCTCATCAACTTCACGTCATCTGCAAACATGGACACTTCGGAGTCTATTCCTTCCGTCATGTCGTTCACAAATACCAGAAACAGCACTGGTATTAGGACTGACCCCTGTGGGACCCCACTGGTCACAGGCGCCCACTCTGACAACTCACCACGTACCATGACTCGCTGCTGTCTTCCTGACAAGTATTCCCTGATCCATTGTAGCGCCTTCCCTGTTATCCCTGCTTGGTCCTCCAGTTTTTGCACTAATCTCTTGTGTGGAACTGTGTCAAACGCCTTCTTGCAGTCAAAGAAAATGCAATCCACCCAACCCTCTCTCTCTTGTCTTGCTGATGTCACCCTGTCATAGAACTCCAGTAGGTTTGTGACACAGGATTTGCCGTCCCTGAAACCATGTTGGCTGTTGTTGATGAGATCATTCCTTTCTAGGTGTTCCACCACTCTTCTCCTGATAATCTTCTCCATGACTTTGCATACTGTACATGTCAGTGACACTGGTCTGTATTTTAGTGCTTCATGGCTGTCTCCTTTTTTAAAGATTGGGACTACATTTGCTGTCTTCCATGCCTCAGGCAATCTCCCTGTTTCGATAGATATATTGAATATTGTTGTTAGGGGTACACATAGCGCCTCTGCTCCCTCTCTCAGGACCAATGGAGAGATGTTATCCGGCCCCATTGCCTTTGAGGTATCTAGCTCATTCAGAAGCCTCTTCACTTCTTTCTCGGTTGTGTGTACTGTGTCCAGCACTTGGTGGTGTGCCCCACCTCTCCGTCTTTCTGGAGCCCCTTCTGTCTCCTCTGTGAACACTTCTTTGAATCTCTTGTTGAGTTCCTCACATACATCACGGTCATTTCTTGTTGTCTCTCCTCCTTCCTTCCTTAGCCTGATTACCTGGTCCTTGACTGTTGTTTTCCTCCTGATGTGGCTGTATAACAGCTTCGGGTCAGATTTGGCTTTCGCCGCTATGTCGTTTTCATATTGTCGTTGGGCCTCCCTTCTTTTCTGTGCATATTCATTTCTGGCTCTATGACTGCTCTCCTTATTCTCCTGGGTCCTTTGCCTTCTATATTTCTTCCATTCCCTAGCACACTTGGTTTTTGCCTCCCTGCACCTTTGGGTGAACCATGGGCTCATCCTGGCTTTTTCATTATTCCTGTTACCCTTGGGTACAAACCTCTCCTCAGCCTCTTTGCACATTGTTGCTACATATTCCATCATCTCATTAACTGGCTTCCCTGCCAGTTCTCTGTCCCACTGAACCCCGGTCAGGAAGTTCCTCATTCCCGTGTAGTCCCCTTTCTTGTAGTTTGGCTTCATTCGCCCTGGCCTTCCTGCTTCCCCCTCCACTTGTAGCTCTACTGTGTATTCGAAGTTTAAAACCACATGATCGCTGGCCCCAAGGGGTCTTTCATATGTGATGTCCTCAATATCTGCACTACTCAAGGTGAATACTAGGTCCATCTTGCTGGTTCATCCTCTCCTCTCTCCCTTGTAGTGTCCCTTACGTGTTGGTACATGAAGTTTTCCAGTACCACCTCCTTCATCTTAGCCCTCCATGTGTCTTGGCCCCCATGTGGCTCCAAGTTCTCCCAATCGATCTCGTGTGTGTGTGTGTGTGTGTGTGTGTGTGTGTGTGTGTGTGTGTGTGTGTGTGTGTGTGTGTGTGTGTGTGCTGTACTCACCTAGTTGAGGTTGCGGGGGTCGAGTCCGAGCTCCTGGCCCCGGTTGTGTGTGTGTGTGTGTGTGTGTGTGTGAACCTATGGACGCAATTTGTGTGTACGCGTATATCAGAAAACTCTACATATGCTCCCGTGAACGTGTATACTAGTTTTCATGTACACACGTGTACCCCACATCCGTGTACGTGTCCGTGTTTCCGTGACTACTACACGGATCAATGCCCCTCATTGCCATCACTCAGCCACGAACATGCTAGGTGCCCAGCACTCCTAGCTAGAGGTCCTAGCAGTGACTATTGTTCACTAGCACTTATTAGTAGCACCTGTTCAGTAGCACCTGTTCATTGACACCTGTTGAGTGGCGCCTGTTCAGTGACACCTCTTCAATAGCAACTGTTCAGTGGCACCTGTTGAGTATCATCTGTTCAGTGGCACCTGTTCAGTGGCACCTGTTCAGTGGCGCCTGTTCAGTAGCAGCTGTTCAGTGATACCTGTTCAGTAGCAATTATTCAATTGCACCTGTTCAGTGATCTCTTCAGTGGCAATTGCTCAGTGGCACCCGTTCAGTGGCACCTGTTCAGTGATCCCTGTTCAGTTACACATGTTCAGTACCATCTGTTCAGTGGCATCTGTTCAATGACACCTGTTCGGTGGCATCCGTTCAGTGACACCTGTTCGGTGGCATCTGTTCAATGACACCTGTTCGGTGGCATCTGTTCAGTGGCACCTGTTCAGTGGCACCTGTTCAGTGCCATCTGTTCAGTGACACTTGTTCGGTTCCATCTGTTCAGTGGCAACTATTCAGTGACACCTGTTCAGTAGCCCCTATACTTTGCTTATTTATGTGCCCCTTTGAACATGTTTCTCGCCTCATTCGCTTGCGTCGTAAACAGTTCCGGTAGTTGTGTGTGTGTTTACACTCACCTATATATGGTTGCAGTGGCCGAGTCACAGCGCCTGTGTGTACTCACCTAGTTGAGGTTGCAGGGGTCGAGTCCGAGTATCATGTTGGAGTTCGATACGTGGATTAGGGAAGAAATACTCACGTAGGCTGTTATTACGTATAATTGCTGTTATGTGGAGAGCCCTTGCCAGCCGTACCTATCTCCTTGGTTACACTCGTAATACTGACTAGCCGGCTGCAGTACCCTATGTGAGGGGGGCCTTTGAATACTGCTGAGGTCAGCACAATATGAAAGACCGTGACTCAGGCAGAGACGGTTGGTCGTTGAGTCAACGGACGGTTACTGGTAACTGGTTACTACTACTGAGACTGGTAACTGGTTACTACTACTGAGACGAGCTCCTGGCCCCGTATATGTGTGTGTGTGTGTGTGTACACGCCAGGAACAATAACAACAACTGTAACATCAACGTTTTATTGCAATATTTCGTGTAACAGCCTCGCCATCTTCAGTGCAGGAGAATATAATTTCATACAGACCTCCAAAATTTTAGTTAATATGTAATTACAAGAAAACGGGAAGTGGAGAGTGCCATGCATGGCAGCACCAACACGTTCATGAGGATCCCCAGAAAGATGTTAACCCCAGAGACACAACATTCAACTAACACCCAGGTACCTATTTACTGCTAGTTGAACAGGAACATCAGATGTTAGAAGACTTGCCCAAGATGTTACCCACAACAGTGTTAGGAGGCTTGCCCATACGTTTCACCCCGCTCAGGATGCCACCCACAACAGTCAACTGTTTACTGTTAGGTGAAGTGTCAGCAGGTGTTAGGAGGCTTCCTATACGTCTCGCCCAGCCCAGGATGCCACCCATATCCCATAAAGAACTACACACGACGATGTATTCCGCCTAAAAGGTAGACAGGTCCGTCTACCTGACATATAAATATGCATCAGTGTTAATTAAGGTGGTCATTATGGCGCCATGGCAGCAGAGGCTAATCACCTATGGATCAGGAGGGCTTAATAACCTTTAATGTTAAGAATGGCTAAGACGATGTTTATGTAGACGTAGACGTAGACGTAGATGTAGATTTAGACGCAATGTTTATCATCATTCTTCTGCTGTGGCCTTCATCTGAAATCGAAAATATATATAATTCAAACCGAAAAATTATATAATTCAGATCATCTTGTTGTTTTTTTTAAAAATTGTCGAAAATGAAGAAATAAGAGACTACGAGGAAGCTTAGTGAAGCTTAATGAAGCTCATTATATAGTGAAACATGACTTGTTAAAGCTCTAGTGAAATATGATTTGATAAAGCTTTATATAGAGTGAAGCAGGACTTGATAAAGCTCTGGAATGAAGCAGGACTTGATAAAGCTCTGGAATGAAGCAGGACTTGATAAAGCTCTGGAATGAAGCAGGACTTGATAAAGCTCTGGAATGAAGCAGGACTTGATAAAGCTCTGGAATGAAGCAGGACTTGATAAAGCTCTGGAATGAAGCAGGACTTGATAAAGCTCTGGAATGAAGCAGGACTTGATAAAGCTCTGGAATGAAGCAGGACTTGATAAAGCTCTATACAGAGTGAAACATTACTTGATAAAACTCTAGAGTGAAACAAGATTTGAGTAAAGTCTATATATAGAGTGAAACATTACTAATTAAACCTCTGTAAAGAGTAACATGTGACTTGATAAAGTTCTAACCAAATTGAAACATTTCTTGATAAAGATCTCAAAATGAAACATGACTTGATAAGCTCCATGTAGAGCGAAACACGATTTGATAAAGCTCTATATAGAGTGAAACACAAACCCCGACTTGTTAAAGCTCTACACAGTGAAACACGACTCACCGCTGCACTGTACGACCAGACGACCATAACGAAGTAGACCTGGGCGACGGTGAAGCAGAGGGCGACCACGCCCACGATAACAGAGTCGTAGAATATGAAGATGACACCCACGATCACCCCCATTACCACCTGGAGTGTCGTACATGCCGCCCACGCCCGCACCAGCACCACCACTGTCTGCAACACCGCCCATACCTTTATACTTTAACCTTTGCTACACTCAGTGGTGCTGAGGTTAACTTTAGTAATGATGAGATTAACTTTAGAGGTGCTGAGGTTATTTTAAGTGATGCTGAGGTTAACTTTAGTGGTACTGAGACTAATTATAGTGATACTGAGACTAATTATAGTGATACTAAAGTTAATTATAGCGGCACCGAGGCTACAACTACTGCTACTATTAATAATAATAATAATAATAATAATAATAATGAACTTACCTTGTCCACAGAACAAGCGAGGAGGATTGCCAGGAGAACATTGAGGATTTCAACCACCACAGTTAGCCATCCCTGCCATCCACCTGCTAATTAAATAAGAAGGTATGCATGTAAATAGGTAAGTAAGAAGATAAGTATGAAAGAACAGTAAGCGAGTGTTCTAACCGCTGCACTCTGAAGGTCCAGTGGTCGAGCCACCGGCCTCCTTAAGACTTCTTTCACAGGGTTAAAAGCCTCTTGGTGGCGTGAAAATTAAGAGGCACGTAAGTTCCCCCGCGTTTTAATAACATGTTCATTTTTCCACTATAATCTATCTTGTCCATAATTACTATAGCATTTGTTTTGCTTCGTAACGTGAAGTCCAGGATCTTTCCTTAATTCATGGTATAACTTAAATCTTTGAAAACAGTTGTGTTGCAGAGGTGTGAGCTTTGCTCACACCTCTCCAACTTACGTGCCCCTTAAGGTTCTGAATGCTCCTACCTTTAATTAGAAGCAGGATGCCGTAGGCAGTACCAAGGAGGCCGACCACTAGAGTAATGAAGGAGATGATCAGGCATCCTCGTCTCAGTGAGAGACAACAGCAGCACCTTGAGGGCATCTTGCCAGAGATAGACACTTGTAGCGAGGAGCACTTGTAGCAGATACCGCTTGTAGCACTTGTGGCAAGTAGCACCTGTAGTAGATAACACTTTTAGCAGAGTGCTCTTCTGGCAGACAGTATTTGTAGCAGATTGCAGTTCTAGCAATCTTGTAGGAGATAGCTACAGTAGCAGATAGCACTTAGCAGAGAGTCCTTGTAGAATATTGTACATGTAGACAGCACTTGTAGCAGATAACACGTTAAACCTCACAAACCTTAGCTTTAAACCTCATAAACCTTGGCTTTAAACCTCACAATCCTTGCCTTTAAACCTCGCAAGCCAACTAATGATGTTCACAATCTCCCGAGCAAGAAGGAGCAGTTGTTATTAGATGTACAGCACATGAACAGTGACCTTAGTGGTTCAGTTCATACTGAGACTGAACCTTAGAACCCCCAGTTGTATACGGTACAGTCACCAGTCACTGGATTAACACCGAGCTGAGTTCAGTCTCTTGATCACTTCCCAGGATTGTCCTGTGCTCAGAGTCGGCTGATAGGGCCCTCGTATCTGGCCATTCAGAGCTGATAGGCGAACGATATGACCGTAATAAATTATTGTTTGTGCTAATCAGCTGCTGCTGCTGTGCTGATAGCTGTTGCACAATGGACTGAGAGAAAGACAGACAGACAAAGAGAGACAGAGACGAGTTCATTTTTTTTAAATTAAATTACTGTGACAGAACTACAGATCATATCTGGACATTTGAAATCAAAACAGAAAAGTTTAAGGCTCCCTTCCCACACTTCATTCCTTCTGGCTACACTTTCACAGCATCTAGATGTGCTTGGATCCTTGAGCAACCTGAGGAAGGTATGCCAGTATCCCATAATTCCAGCCCCCTCTACCTCAATTTGAAAAAATAGGCAAATTCGCACCTACCCACTCGTGTAACATTGCAACCTTCATCTAAGCAGGATAAAACAGTGATGAAAGTTTGAAATCGATCTGAAGAAGCATTCTCAAGCTATTGCAGAAGTGGAATGATCAATATAAAATTAACCAGATGGCAATTGCATGTGCCATTAATACGCGAACTTTCTCCTAGTTAAAGTGCACAAGTGTTGAAAGTTTGATGGCGTTCGGGTGAGTCGTTCTCAAGTTATAAAGGAAAACCTTGGAGGAAGAAGAAAATCAGGCAAACACTTTAAGGTATTCCTTCGGGGATACCTAACTCAGGCAGCAACATTGAGGTAACTCTTCATGGATACCTAATACAGGCGACAAAATGAACGTAACCCTTTAGGGATACCTAATGAAGGTAGCCCTTCAAGAATACATAGAAATATGTGATACTTATTTCCATTGTAATTTTAAAGTCCTTCCCCAGGATGCCACCCACAACAGACCACCAACTCTCCGGTACCTATTTACTGGTAAGTGAAAAAGGGCAGCAGGTGTTAGGAAACCTGCCCGAAAGACAACCCCCTTCCTCGCTTCCCAGGATTGAACCCGGGCCTTCCATTGTGAGATAAATGCTCTTCCATTGAGCTGTGAGGAGACGGTCAAATAACCCGAGTTTGTGTTGCATCTTCTGCCACGAAGTTGTATCTATTTCTTCTATTATTATTACTAGTAGTAGTAGTTTGATTATTGTTATTATTTTAGTAGTAGTAGTAGCAGAAATAACAGTATTATATCTTATTATCATTAATAAAAAAAATTCTATTACGATATATGGAAATGCTAAATTTATTTGGGTTATACAACGCCGAATAAATGGGACGTAATAAAGTCTGATCCGAGAATTTGGAAGAAAGCTTCGACACCCTGGATCAAGAGCCCTTCAGCATCAAGGCTTCTTCAAAGGTAAAGAAATTTCCACATTTTTCAAACACAAATTGACATAACATTGTATATGACCATGAAACCGAGTACCAACAGTCTGATTGATCAGACATGATTGTAAATACTCGCCGGAGAATCGAGCCTCCATATAGCAGTCCCAAGGGAAAACAATTAAGGGTAAGTTAGGTAAGGACAAGTGTTTCTTGACGCGAGTCTTAGTTGATGACCTGCCATTGTAGCTTTTGGACATCTGACCGAGGCCTTCCGTTGGCTTACTTTTCCACGCCTTTAAAAGTTAATAATGGATTTATTATTATTATTATTAAAGATTAGCCGGTATTCTCCCGGCCCGGGCCTTTTCCAAGTGGTGGCCCGACCTTGGCTCCCTCTTTAGTGAGTGTCTGAGACCTAAGTCTCCCATGGGAGGAGGCACAAGTACCTCCTCATCTTTGGGACCAACTGTCCCCAGGCCTAGCCACAAGCTATAATGGATATAACTATTTACGGTCGGGTAAAAAAAAATCTCAAATAAAAAGGTTTATTATATTTATAGGTTTACATAAACAGTAAACAACTTATATTCTCTGTAAGGCAGAAAAATAAATAAACTTCATTTTTTTGTATGCTTCCAGTTTCCACATTTGAGTAAATATACATCCAGAAAATACACTTACAGAAACAGTCCGTTGTCAACATACACCATCAATAATTTACACAATATACACAAGTTAGTCCTCAAAGATGCCAAGATAACCTATAATGGCGGGAAATTGTAGAAAATGGAAATTTATTCAAAAAATAGATATACAATAGATAAAAATAGATGAAATTCATTATTATCCTCAGTAGTTTATATAGTAAAAGAGTTTTAAAGACACACACACCTCTGTAACAAACTAAATCTGTCGTAAAATCTGTTTGTATATAATTAAATTTACAAAGAAATATAGTTTAAAGAATTACGAATTTTATGAAAAGTTAAAATAACCCATGAGGATTAATAATCCAGGATTACCCATGATAGCCAGGCAGTGTGACTTGTTGCCACTGAGGTACTCAGGTCCTTCCCCAGGATGCCACCCACAACAGTCAGCTACACCATTGGAAATAAGTCATTTTGTCTGACTTTTTTGGGGTTATCCTAGTTAATTTACATGTTACTATATATGATAATTTGTGTAACTGCATTTATGTGTACCTGTACCTAAACAAACTTATTTGAAGTTTATTTGGTTACAGGTACACATCAATAGTTATCATACCTAGTAACATATATGTAAATTACCTAGGATAGCCTACTACTGCTTGGGTATATAGGGACATTAGGTGCCAAGCAACGTGCCCAAATGAGCAGAAAACAATATTTGAAGAAAGTGGAACCAACCAGAGAGGTAGTTGAGGCATATTCATACATTGATTCAAGACTGGGTACGACATAAATCCCTCAGAGCTTACGAATCAAATACACCTTTCAAGCTAAAGTCGAGAGGTAGGGCCCTAGAGCTGAGAATCAACCCCCCACAAGCACAAATAGGTGAGTACACTTAAGAGACACTTACAAGGAAGACAGAAATGTTCCCAAAATTATATATATATATATTATATATATATATATATATATATATATATATATATTATAAATATATATATATATATATATATATATATATATATATAAATATTTTGTTCCTCAAAACCCTAATATATATCAGAATAAAATCTTCATAGAAAACGTGGGAGCCTGAAAAATATAAGTTTAAATCAATATATCTCCATCTTTGGTGTGATATGTATCGATATGCAAAATTTATGTATCCCAAATATTTTTGTTATATTTCCCATTTTCTCTAAAATTTTAATTTAATATTTAGCGTTCATTTGACGACGTTTTCGCATTTAATGTGGCATTTAGATTTACCTCCATTTTCTTTGACTCATGTCATACACTAGTAATTTACACTAATATTTTAGATATTATACTATTTTTGGTTGGCGTATGGGTAACATGAAGTTTGAAGGACCCTCGTGCAGTGGATAGACTTCAAACTCCATTACTCATATATGACACAAATTAGTTAATATTTTAAAGAAATTTATTCTTGCTATTTTCTTTCATATGTTAGAATGTTAAGCTTCCCATTTTCTTTCAGTTATTTTTAATCACTAATACGTATATGATAACTAGCGATAATTACTGGGCAGTGTCGTATTTATATTATGTAATATCACGAAGGAACGTGAACCTAAATGTTATGATTCTGAGTCATTGTTTTAGTTGTGTGAGAACACTGTGATGATTGACACAACACTACCACCAAGACCAGTGTCAGGAGACACTTGTCCTGTTTCCTGACGTTGAGAACTACCACCAAGACCAGTGTCAGGAGACACTTGTCCTGTTTCCTGACGTTGAGAACTACCACCAAGACCAGTGTCAGATAACACTTGTCCTGTTTCCTGACGTTGAGAACTACCATCAAGACCATTGTCAGGAGACACTTGTCCTGTTTCCTGACATTGAGTACTACCACCAAGACCAGTGTCAGGAGACACTTGTCCTGTTTCCTGACGTTGAAAACTACCATCAAGACCAGTGTCAGGAAAACTTGTCATATTTCCTGGCTAACAAAACACCAGAATTAATAAATATATATCGTTCTGGTGATTCGTATGTTCACAACTCGTTCACGTTTCCCTTTTGAACTTTGTTCAACACTCATTTTTAGTATATTAATGACAAAGTTATATCATTATTGGTGAACAGTTTAGTGTGTTCAGAATCCTTGTTCAGTAGTTTTATTAGCTTATGCTCGAAATGTGTTTCTTAAGGACTTCAGGTTGATCAGAACGTTCATTCGTTCACTCAGATGTGCCTCTGTCTTGTGCTGAATGACCCACACGGGTTTAGTGCTTCACATTTGTATATTTCAGTTTGGTTTCAGCCTTACTAAATTCTTTTTTTATCCGAGTTTTGATTATTCTATCTCTCCATATATTTCCACAATTCGAAGTGTAATCCTTCCGTTTTTTTAATGACAGGTGTGTTTTCTGACACCAGTGTGTTCATTAACAACTGTGCTTACACCTCGCACCTGTGTTCACTGACATCCGTGTTTACAACCGACACGTGTTCACTAACACCTGTTTTTATACCTGACACCTATGTGCTTACTAACACCTGTGATTTTATACCTGACACATGTGTGCTAACATCTGTGTTTACAACTTACACCTGTTTTTTCCTTAACACCTGGCATAACTTCGACCACCTTTTAGAAAGTATTCACTAGCATATTATATACAAAAAAAAAATCCTGTATAAATATTTTTTCCACAAATATTCAGTGTAATTTTTAAAAAATTAGATTAATGTATTTTTATATTTTTTTTTCATTGTCAAAATTATTTATACATAAATATTTGTAATAAATTTTAAACAGTAAGAAATATTATAAGAGAGTGTGTGTGTGTGTGTGTGTGTGTGTGTGTGTGTGTGTGTGTGTGTGTGTGTGTGTGCCATATGTTTATATGCATTTGTAGTGTATTTCACTTAGTTTATATACAACAAAAGCTGAATATCTTTCAGTGTACATACATCGGAAATGAGTATCAGCATATATACACTAACTAGTGTATATTTATCATTGCATATACAAGGAGATATGTATACATTTGTGTTTATATATTGAGAATTTACTCGATATCATATTTTAGGGATTAAAATATATTCGATTGGAGGTATAAGTAAAAACCAGCCTTAATGACCCTGGTGTACTCAATGGATTTTACACGTCAAACCTAACAAACCGTTTTTTTTAACATACGCAATTCAGTTAGTGTTTATTGTTCCTTGTTTTTCAAATTACACAAACACTTGGCTCTTCTTCCTTGCCAGACCACTCCTGGTGAAAGTGACAGGTTTTGTCACCGAGCAAATTTTGCCTCTGGAGTCACTGTTACTTGTCTCTCTCTCTGATCCCTCAGTCATCGAACTCTCACTCTCTCTGTCAGTCACATAATTCACCATCGACTTGCTCAGCGGATTTTCAGTCTTGCAGATTTTTTCCGATGTGCTGATATCTGCTGACTTGCCTCGTCTAATTTTAGGGAGTATGGATGTTTTCTCTCTCAGTGAGAGGTTGTGCGGACGAATAGCGTAGTTTCCTCTATCGTCACGTGCTTCCTGAGTTTTCTTCTCAAAGTGTCCATTCTGGGACGTTGCTGCATCCTCTTTCGCCACCCTGCTTACTAATTTGTGTTTTTTCAAACCGTCTATCGGATTTTCATAAATCTTACACTTTTGCAATAGGCCCTCATTCGTAACATTTTCATTAACGTTTTCTTTGGTGTGTTTCGAAGACTCATTTTCTTTAATATTTCTTACTTTTTCTAAACCAAGAGGTGATTCGCTGAAATCTCTTGTATCCACGATTATATATGAATCTCCTACTGTGTTTTCTTCTTTCTTACCACATTTTTCGTGTTTATCTTCAGATTTACGAGTAAAATATTCACATTTTAGTTTAGAAGGATTTTTGTCCTCACTTTTTTGTTCCTGGTGAGAATTACTTTCAGGAACACTGCTCTCACTTTGACGCTGGGTGGTTGAATTTTCATAAGTTACGTTTCCCTGTGTTCCTAAACATACTGTTTCTCCTCTTCTCGCAGCCTGGGCAGCAATAAACTGAGAACTTTCAAAGCTAATCGCCCGAAGGGTAAGTTTGTTCTGATGTTGAGCCTTAGTGGTGGTGTAATCCAGTGTGGGTTTGATTACTCCACTTGTTGACGCCATCCTCTGGCTCTGGGACAAGGAGCTCTCCTTGGGTAGAGAATTACGGGTTTCTGGATTAGATGTGACCCCTTGTCTCTCATCATAATCTGGGCTGCTGTGATTCATATGTTGCCGTGGGCTTGGAAGGTTGCTGGTGTGTGAGTGGTCAGTCTCACATCCTGTTGGTTGACTACATACTGAGCGAACCTGTGTTTCATTCTTCGAGTGGAATTGCGGTTGTGATCTGGCCTGAGCTGCCGCATTATTTGTACTTGTTCTGGCTAGGTAATCGCCATTCCCTATCTCAGTGATGACTCTGCTCGATGACACCCCATCTTTGACGGTAACCAGAACCTTCTTGATGGAATTGTTATTCTTGGCAGCTAACCCGTCACTGGAAGCCTGAGAACACGCGTTTGAAGTCACTGTGGAAGCATTTGTGAGATCCTGCGAGAGGCGAGCACCAGCTGGAAGAATAATGGGGATTTTAGGTTGATCTGAAGGAACCTTGAGATTAGCACTGTTCTCCCGGCGGAGACCAAAGGGGACGCGGGCGGGGAGCGCTGCTCCTTCGGAGCCAAGGGCATGGGAGGAAGCAGTAGGGCGGAGTTCTGAGACTGGGGGATCATAAGGGGTAGAGACGAAGTAGGTGGTGAGGGTCCCCTTGCCCTTAATTAACGTAGGGCCTCGACATTCGCATGCCCACCCTGCTCCCTGCAAGATGGCCGCCGTCTCTTCGGTTACCTGCAACAAATACAAATTATTTCTTTATGTGGTACAAATAATGTATTTAACATGAAAATAAATATTGTTGGAGAAAAAACCACAATATATTTTGCATAAAAGGCAACTATAAAAAAAAAAATTTTGGCATAGCATAGCAACGACCTAGTAGCGTCCTGAAACCCGATGCAAACAAAGACCTGAACCCTTTCCCTGGATCTAGTTCATTTTTTTGAACCCCTTTCCCTGAACCGGGTTTCATTTTCGAACACCTTCTTGGGAACCTGTTCATATTTCTGAACACCTTTCCTGAAACCGGGTTCATATTCTGAACACCTTCTTGAAGCCTGTTCATATTTTGAACACCTTCCTAAAACCCCTGGTTCAATTTCTAAAACACCTTTTTGAAGCCTAGTTATTTTTTTGAACATTTTCCTGAAGCCTACTTTTATTTCTAACACCTTTCCCTGAAGTGTTCATACTGGAGCTTCTGACAAAGTTTAAACCTTTTGGAATTTTTCCCGATTCCTTTTCAAGAGTGCTATGATATTGAGGAAGTCTGACCAAGGGAATTGGGGGCACCCTCCCCTTTCTTGGATAAAAACTAATTTAACCCCTTAATTCTACCTCTGTGTAAAATAAGAGACTTATTTAAACTAGCTTGCCCATGCTTCTGTTTTTTTTGACTACTAATGACTCCTGATGCTAAGGGCTCCGATTGCCAAATACCCTGATGCTAACGATTACAATGTCTCCCGACTACTAAAGACCTTGACTGCAAAGGACTCCCGATTTTTAATTGCCCCAACAGTACAGCCTGGTTTACAGGTTGATCCCCAGAGGCCCCGGTCACAACCGGGCGCGGGGGGGGTTTAACCCCCCAACTCTCTCCAGGTAAACCCCCGGTCTCCGACTGCTAAGCTAGTGACTAGTTCTACAGGACTGGCCCAGTCTAGGTGCGTCCCAAAAAAATAACAAACTCGGATGTCACTACCGCCCCCCCGGGTTCAATATCTTTAGGGTTTAAAAAAAACCCCCATTTTTAATGATGTAAGAATTTTTAAAGGTCTTGGCCCCCCAGCGGGTTGAATCGCACCTGTAACCCCCCGGGAGTACCGGATGCATCGTAACCTGCCCGGGGGGTACCGGGGTACACGTGTAATTGCCCACAAACCCCGGGTGCACCGTAAAATTTTCCCGCGTAAAACCGGGGGAAATGTAATTGCCAAATACCGGGTGCCCTGTAACCTGCCCCGCATACCCGGATGCACCCGTAACTGCCCGCAGTACCGGGGGTGCACCTGTAATCTGCCAGCAGTACCCCGGGTGCACCCTGTAAATCCCCGGCCGCCCGGGGTGCACCCTTTCCCCCCAGCAGTACCGGATGCCCTGTAACCTGCCCGCATACCGGGGTGCACCTGTAATCTGCCCCCGCATACCGGGAAGCACGTAAGCCCCATACCGGAGCACCTTAACTGCCCCCAAAAACCCCTGACCTTAATGGGCAAGGGTGACCCAATTCCCCCGATAGTACCCGTAAATTGCCACACACGAACGACCTGTTTTTCCCAAAACCCGGATCCAGGGGGGGGGGAAAATTAGTGTTTCCCCCGTGTCGTACTGGGTTTTTGAAAAAACCCCAGGCGACCGGGAATGTCCAAATGCAGATACCGGGGGTGTCGTGTACCAATTACCTGGGGTGTTGAACCACCGGGAGACGACGAGAATTGCAACTTTCACAGTAATGTTACATATTATAATATCACCTGTTTATTGTTGTGATCTGGTGGCCTGGTGGTTAACGCTCTCGCTTCACACGGTGAGGGCCTGGGTTCGATTCCCAGCAAGAGTAGAAACATTGGACGTTTTTTCTTTCCACCTGTTGTCTATGTTCCCCATCAGTAAAATGGGTACCTGGATGTTAGTCGACTGGTGTGGGTCGCATCCTGGGACACTGACCTAAGGAGGCCTGGTCACAGACCGGGCCGCGGGGGCGTTGACCCCCGGAACTCTCTCCAGATAAACTCTCCATTTTATATATAAAAATATATATATATATATATATATATAATATATATATATATATATTATAAAATATATTAAAAAAAGAGATTAAGCTTACCAACTCTGAGCTTAAAGCTTTGAAAGCTTTCCTTGTTGATAGCGTCTAGGACAGCAGCCATAGAGAGAGCGAATTCGACCAGCAACACCAGGCAGTGTTCCGTCCTGTCCCGAGCCTACTCTCAGTCCACCACACACAAGGCAGGTCAAGTACATATCCAGGTCCCAGGTCAAACACGCCACCACGCGACAAACCAACCAACGTGAAATTAAAAATACACAATAATAAGTACTAAATGTAAATAAAATATTTAGCGCATATATCTCAGCCTTAATTGCAGTTTTATAGTTGAGAAATGTATTTACAAAAATTTACTTACATTTTCAAAGTCCTGGAGGCAAAGGGGTGAAAAGATCCATATATGTATAATTACAGTGTATCGTTGACTTTATTGTAACTTTAATATTGTGTCAGTAATAAGTGAAATGTTTGTTCTCATTATATCACTAATATTGAAGTAGGCAGGTAGTGGTGTAGTAGTGTTGTAGTGTGTTGGTGTAGTGTGGTGGTGTTGTGTGTTGGTGTGGTAGTGGTTGGGGTTGTATGTTTGGTGGTTGTGGTTTGGTGTTTGTTGTGGTTGGTTTCAGTTTTGGTGTTGTAGTGTAAATGGTTTTGGGGTGTTGGTGTTGATGTAGGGTTTTTGGGGTGTTGGTGTTGTAGTGTTTGGGGGTGATGGGTTTGGTGTGTTGTACTGTGTTGGTGTTGTAGTGTGGGGGGTTGTGTGTTTGGGTTGCAGGGTTGTGTTGTATGTATGGTTTGGGTTTTGGTGTTTATGTGTTGGTGTTTTTAGTGTGGTGGGGTTTGTGTTGGTGTTGTGTGTGTTGTGGTTTTGGGGTTTTGGGGGTTGAGTGGTTGGGGTTGAGTGTGGTGGTGTTGTGTGTTGGTGTTGCAGTGTGTTGGTGTTGTAGTGTAGTGGTTTGGTGTTGGTGTTGTAGTGTGTTGGTGTTGTAGTGTGGTGGTGTTGTGTGTTGGTGTTGTAGTGTGTTGGTGGTGTAGTGGTTTGGTGTGTTGTAGTGTGTTGGTGTTGTAGTGTGGTGGTGTTGGGTGTGTTGGTGCTTTAGTGTAGTGGTTTGGTGTGTTGGTGTTGTAGTGTGTTGGTGTTGTTAGGTGGTGGTGTTGTTGTGTTGGTGTTGTAGTGTGTTGTGTTGTAGTGTGGGTGGGTGTTGTTTTGTGGTGGTGTTGTAGTGTGATGGTGTTGTAGGTGTTGGTGTTGTAGTGTGATGGGGTGTATGTGGGTAGTGTTGTAGTGTGGTGGCGTTGTAGTGTGGTGGTGTTGGTGTTGTAGTTGTGGTGGTGTTGTAGTGTGGTGGTGTTGTAGTGTGGTGGTGTTGTGTGTTGTGTTGTTGTGTGTGGTGGTGTTGTGTGTTGGTGTTGTAGTGTATGGTTTGGTGTGTTGGTGTTGTAGTGTGTTGGTGTTGTAGTGTGGTGGTGTTGTAGTGTGATGGTGTTGTGTAGTGTGGTGGTGTTGTAATGTGGTGGCGTTGTAGTGGGGATGGTGTTGGGTGTTTTGTAGTGTGTTGGTGTTGTAGTGTGATGGTGTTGTAGTGTGGTGGTGTTTGGTGTTGTAGTGTGGTGGTGTTGTAGTGTGGTGGTGTTTGGTGTTGTAGTGTGGTGGTGTTGTAGTGTGATAGTGTGGTGTTGTATGTGGTGGTGTTGTAGTGTGGTGGTGTTGTAGTGTGTTGGTGTTGTAGTGTGGTGGTGTTGCAGTGTGGTGGTGGTGTGTTGTAGTGTGGGTGGTGGTGTTGTGTGTGGTGGGTGGTGTTGTAGTGTGTTGGTGTTGTAGTGTGGTTGGTGTTGTAGTGTGGTGGTGTTTGTAGTGTGATGGTGTTTTTGGTGTTGTAGTGTGGTGGTGTTGTAGTGTGTTGGTTGTTGTAGTGTGTTGGTGTTGTAGTGTGTGGTGGTGGGTTGTAGTGTGTTGGTGTTGTAGTTTTGTTGGTATTGTAGGTGGTGGTGTTGTAGTGTTGGGGTTTGTAGTGTGGTGGTGTTATAGTGTGGTGGTGGTATAGTGAAGTGTAATGCGGCAATGGTATAAATTGGTAGTGGTGCTGGTGGTAGCGGTGTGGTGATGGTGTAGTGTTTTAACTTGTAGTGTGGTGGTAGTGGTGTAGTGTGATGGTTTTAGTTTCCTGGCTCTGTGTAGAGCTTTATCAAGTCTAAGACTTGATAAAGCTCTACGCAGTGAAACGTAGTCAGTGTGTTCTGAATGTCTTCCTTCCTGTTGGCATTTCACCCTTGTGTCTCTTAGAAATATGTACAAGTGTGTTAGGCAAAGGTAGATGTGGGTACAGTGGTGTTTGTTTAGTGGGGACATGATACATTTGCGATAGAATGGTCAGTATGGTAGAAGGGATAAACGCCAAGGTATCTGGGGAGGATAGATGAGGTAGATACCAAGGGTAAGGACTGGACTCAAGGTTGTTTTACCTGTTCCTTGATGACTTGGACACTTGTGCAGCACCTTGGTATCTTTATTGTGGAAACGTTTCGCCAACCAGTGGCTTCCTCAGTCCTGTACAGAGAGACTGATTACCTCTTACTCCTGATTTTCAGTCATCCTTCTCTGTACTGGACTGAGGAAGCCACTGGTTGCCATAACGTTTCCACAATAAAGATACCCCAAAGTGTTGCACAACCGTCTAATTCCTCCATCTGTGGGTTCTCTGAATCAGTTTTCTACATACCTGTTCCTTGCCTGGGTGTAAGCCTGATGCGACCATGTAGGTGCTACCAATTGTTTTAATCTTCTCCACCAAGCTGTACTTCATCTTGTGCAGCAGCTGAAACAACCAGGTATGTGTTGATAACTTCATAACCCGTACATCAAGCTAAATCTTCATTCAAACTAGATATGTACCAATCAAAACAACATACTGCCATTATTATGCTTTTTTTTATATCAAGTACTTTCAAGAAACCCCAAATTTACCAAATGACTCATGTGGTCTCAAAACAAGAATCAGTAACTTCAAATTAATCTAAGAGGTTTAAATATTATGTGAGTAGCCCTTACAACGACCCAGGAGGACCATAAATAGCCTGACTGACTTGTCTCACACTCCCTCGTCCATCCCCAAAAATGACGCATCTGAGCTGAATAATCTCAATGAATTCTAAGAGAAGAAGAAGAGGAAACTAATCCCAGAAAGGAACATTGTGACCTGCCTTATCGTAGTCGCAGATAATTTCATTCAGCAGTCGGAGACACTCTAGGCCCTGTTTGTTGACGTCCGTCTCATCGTAGAACTCCTTGTAGTTGGGGATAGAGGCGAACATGACGCCCACACTGGTGTATCGCTCGTGGTACAGCTCCTGTAGGTGGAAGAGAGTGAGGTGGGATGTTGAGGAAGAATGAGGGAGAGGATGAACCAAGAGGAGAGATGGTATAAGTGAAAACTGAAGGAGACGACGTTAAACTTTCAAAATCTTCCCTAATACAACCTTGACTGCATGGTCATGAATATGCTTGGGTAAAGATCCTTTGATCGCACGTTAGGTGGGTGATTTATAGCCGAGACGAGCTCTTTCTTTACACGGCATCATAGCTACCCTTCCCTTTCTTTAACCAGCCCAAATTACCTCTCATTTCCCTAGTTCTTGCACAAAACTGAACGACCACTGACCTGCGGGGTGTTGGAGACCAGGAAGCGGTGAGCTACATAAGATGGCAGGATGTTCTCCAGCAGGATCTTGTTGATGCCCCGTGTGGTCTCCACCTCCTTCTGCTCAACAGCAACCCTCGAGGCCCAGGTGTAGTGGGTACGTGCACGTGCCTCGCTCTGCTTACCCAGAATGCCCAACACCCCCACCAGAGCCACCACCTGCACACCCACCACCATCCACCAAGACACTCCAGGCAGACTGGAAAGAAAATAGTCAGTTGAATTATCACTGTCATAGACCAGGATGTAGAGGTGTAACTCTCACAGATGAACATATAAACACACTTTATACTGAACATACTATTCCAGGGACAACATTACTTTCTGTGTAGAGCAAAATGTGTGTCAGCATCAAATATTCTATTATTGACAACTTTTCTTCTTTTTTTTAATACATCGATATAGCATGACACACTCAACATCACATTCATGACTTGATAAAGATTTACCCTAAGCGAAACGTAATCCCAATTAAAGCTTGTTTGTATATTGTCTTCACAGTCGTGTTATAGACCTAACACACGCTAGTCGTAAGAGTAATTGGAAGCGACTATCAAGGTTACACTGCAGCCAGTCTCCTGGACGAGTTCTGCATCACTAACTTATTATTGACGAGTGTTATATATGTTTATCTGATTCCCATAACTCTAAGATAAAAGTCATGTGATTTATAGTTTAGTTATTTAATTATATTCGGTTATAGCAAGTTTATGTGAATTAAGTTTATCCTAATGTAGCATAACCTAACCTCACTAATATGACCTGACCAAACACAGTGATAACATTCCTATCAATTGTGTGTTACATGGAATTGTGTTATGTAAACTGAAGAACATATAGGACAATATGATCGATGCTTGTTTATAAATCCCACTAGGCTACACGGGAAGGATGTACCAGCGGCCATGTGAACAAATAACATCTGACTCACGAAATCGTAATGACACGATTGCAAACAAACCATACCACGGGCGGGGATAGAACCCGCGATCAGAGAGTCTCAAAACTCCAAACCGTCGCGTTAGCCGACGGTCTGATCGCGGGTTCTATCCCCACCCGTGGTATGGTTTAAATAACATCTTCGTCGTTGTTTCACGCTAAAACCGATATCTTAAATATTTAAAAACATGGAAGCAAATGCTTTGAGCATGAGGCATGATTAAATGTTTTTCACACACTTGGTGATTTACCTGTTGTAGTTTACCTGTGGTAGTCTACCTGTATAAGTTTACCTGTGGTAGTCTACCTGTAGAAGTTTACCTGTGGTAGTTTACCTGTGGTAGTGATGGGAGAAGAACTCCAAGAGAATGTTGTGGTGGTGATGATGGAGCAGGATGGCGCAGATGTGAGCTCCTGTCACACTAACCATGACCATTATCTTGGTGCAAGCACCCACACGGGGGAACACTGACACAACCCCGATGGACACCAGGCATGCCCACGCCAGCAGCTGCAGAGAGTGACACTGGCTAGGTCAGAGAACACAACAACAACAGAGTGGCACTTAGGGTGCCACAGAGAAGAAGACAAGAAGACAAAAACAAACAGAAAGGCATTGACCGGGTCACAACAAAGGAAATAGAATAAACTTACCGGATGCTAAAGTTATAGTTCCAAGAAGCTGAACATGGCAGAAAAGAATTATATATATATATATATATATATATATATATATATATATATATATATATATATTATATATATATATATATATATATATATAAATATATATTATAATTGAATATGTATTACTAATAGCACAAGTGTACCTCAGCATCCTTGGATGGTGACCGTGAAGGTAGTATCAGGATAGGCAGAGTCATGTTTGCGTCGTGTTCCAGTGTGGTAGGTAGGGGCGTGGCAGGACCACCTGTCTCCAGCACCGGCTGTGGCTCGTCAGGCACCACCTGTGGATGCAGATGATTATGTACTAGCAAATACACCTACAGTTCTGGTGATATATTAATTACAACCACAATTCTGGTGATACAATCGTAAATATATACACAACTGTGGCTTGCATGATCCATCCTCTTCAAGGGGGGCTCCTTGGCGTGGTGAAGAGGCTCTTGGTCTGAGGAATTAGACCTGTCGGTCTTCTTCCTCAGACCGAACCTAATTACCCCCCCATTCTCCCCTCCCCTATCCCATCCTCCCCATCCTCCCCTTTTTCCATTCCTCCTCCTCCTCCCCACCCCTCCCTTTTGCCCTTCCTCTTTTTGGCCTTTGGGATTTCTCCCACAGGTGCGCTAGTTCCTAGGTAGGGGAAAGGACACTGGGGTCCATCCCATTCCGTTGAGGTTCTTGGCGGTGGCGTAGTTTGCCGTGGAATCTGGATCGCCTGGGGATGTCCCGATCCCTCTCCGGTATCCCGGAGTAGCTTTGGGTGTCTTTCGGGTGATGGGTGTATCTCTGGAAGCCACCTTTCGGATTCTGGGGGTGGTGGCCGAAGGAGGTATGCTTTGTGGCGGATATCCGGCCGCCCTCTCTTTTGTCCACCGAGGTAGCTCGGCAGATGTGAGGTTGCTATCCCGGATTGCTGGTTTACTGGCATGAAGGGTAGGGTATGGCACGGGTTCCATGCTGCATCTGCGCTACTAGCGGTGCTGAGGTCCTCTTGGGTGCGGAGGGAGATTTCCGGCCCTTTCATTCCTCCTGGGAACTATTCCTCCCCGCTCCCCCCTTTTTTATTCTTTTTTTTTATTTTTCTTTTCTTTTCTTCTTTCTTTTTTTTTTCTTAAAAACAAAAAGCAAAGGAGTAACCTAACCATGGAGAACCCAATCCATGAACCCACTATCCCCGGGCCCCTTCTTGATACCGCACCCCATTCTGACCCTGCCTTGTGTTTAGACCACTCTTCGGACACTCCTGATGCCCCTGTACCTCTTGCTGGTGCTGTTTCCTCACCCGCTTCAGGTACCGGGGCTTCGACTGACTCCTTCGATTTGTCTGAACTCCGCTCTCCTTTGACTATGCTTCCAGCTTCTCCCTCTACGGTACGGCAATTTTCGAATTGCCCGCGCATTTCACGCCGGACCAACTCCGGTCCTACTCCTAAACGCCAACGTCAATCTCCTGATGATGCTCCTTCGTTACCTTCCCATTCTACTCGGAAAAGACCGACACGTCAAGCACTCCCTCTCCACACTCAGTTTCGGACCACACAATGGACTAAATTCTTTACTTTAAGACCGACTTCTTCTTCTGCCTACCTTTCTGACCATAGTATTGGCAAAGCGCTCCTGCGTCATGTTGGTAGAGATATTTCATTTCATGCTCTCAAGAGCATCGTCACTGTCCAGAATGCTACCCAAGCTCATGAACTTTCTCTCCTTTCGAATATCGATACTACTCCTATCACTATTGAAAAACATCTTTCTCTCAATTCTTGTAGTGGTACTGTCATTCTGCCCCATACCATAGTCCAACAGAATTTCCAGTCATGTGGCAATGACATTCTTGAACAGCTGGAACTCCAGGATCTCCCAATCCTCAAAGTAGACACTTATGTCCTTCCTGCCCGGGGCGGAGACGTTACCCTTGCAATGTGGCTCGTTTAACTTTTGACAGCCGAGAACTCCCGTCCTCTGTATATGTCGCGGGACATCGGTTACAAGTTCGAAAGGTGATACCTACACCACAACAATGTAGAAATTGCTGGCGTTTTGGCCACCCAGCGAAATATTGCAGATCTATGGCCGAATGCCCAGTCTGTGGTGCCGACGACCATTCTAATACATCTTGCAGTCAACCTCCATCTTGCCTTAATTGTAATGAAGCTCACCCTTCGTACTCCCGCCGTTGCCAGGTCTACTTAAATGAACGTGAAATCCGTTGCCTCAAAGAGGTAGAAGGTCTCCCTTATGCTATGGCAGTTACTCATCTCCGCCTCCAACGGAGACTACCCCGTGTTTCTTATTCTCGTGTTTCCAAACATCCCCCTACTCTGGGGTCCCATCTTCTGCAGCCTCCTCTGTTGTTACCCTCTCCATAGCCACTCCGGCATCTAATCCTTTTGCTGTCCTTGGCTCTGACGTCCAGACTACAACTCAGTCTGTTCTCACATCTTCGCGTCCTTCCTCACAAGCCCCAGTATTGACAAGACCTCGTACGACACCTAATACCAATCACCCCCTGCTTCTCAGAAGTCCAAAAATCCACATTGCTCAAATCTTCTTTGCCCCTTCCTTCCCTTCTTCCACCTCACACTTTACCTTTCCAGTCTCTGTACCTAGTTCTTCCCCTCTCTCTGGTTCTATTACAAGTGTGGAGATTCACCCTCCTCCTCATACTATGCCTTCCACCCCGTCCCCTCCCAAGTTTCTCCCTCTTCTGCGACCTCCCAGGTTTCTGCCTCTTCTGTCCCCCCCCACACTTCATCTCCAGTCCTTTTACACTCTTCCCTCCCCCTCTACTTTGGTACAGTCCATTACTGTCCCAATCTTTACTCACCCTCCTCCTTCTATCTCCAATATGGTCTCCCATACATCTTTGAATTCAGAAGCACTTGAAGCCATTTCAGAATATATTGCAGAGACTAAACCTTCAATGGACACTGATTCACTTCCTGTTCCTTCTCTTCCCTCTCCTCCATCTTCACAACCCCATTCTTCGCAACGCTCCGTTCCTTCGCTGCTTGAACGTCTTCCAATGCCACCACACATTGACTCTTCTAACCCCTCTAGTCCGTAGGTGCCTATACCTACAGATTCCTGGTATTTTCTTCATTGCCAATCATGGCCTATTTACAGTGGAATATCCGCGGCCTCAGGGGTAATTGGGGTGAGCTTCAGATGTTGCTTTCCAGGTTTTCCCCTGTTGGTGCTTGCTTACAAGAACCAAAATTACACTCGGCTGTTTTCCAACCTATCTCAGGCTATAATTTATTGTATTCTTCGGATCCTTTCTCAGATGGGACCTTTAATGAAAGTGCCCTTCTTCAATGCAATGATATTCTGTACTGTCAACTATTTGTCCATACCTTGCTGCATTACACTGCAGCCCGTATCCACTTGAATAAGTGGTTTACAATATGTTCTTTATATCTCTCTCCTTCTCGAGCATTTTCTAGCCCAGACTTTGCCTTTCTTGTTTCATCCTTACCACCACCACTTCTGTTACTTGGTGATTTTAATGCCCACCACTTCCTCTGGGGGGTCTCATTGTGACTCACGTGGCATCCAGTTGGAGGCTTTTCTCGCCTCTCACCCCCTTCATGTTTTAAATACGGGTACTCCCACCCATTTTGATCCTCGTACTCATACTTTCTCTTGCATCGATCTATCAGTCTGCTCTTCCTCCACTGCACTAGACTTCACCTGGTCTGTTCTACCAGACTTACATGACAGCGATCATTTCCCAATCATTCTTTCTTCTCCTTCCTATTCCCTACCTTTCCATAGCCCTCACTGGCAATTTGATCGGGCAAATTGGGATCTTTACTCACACCTCACTGCTTTTAGTGAAGTTCCTTCTTCATCCTCCATTGATGAGCTCCTACACATCTTCTCGACGTCAGTTTATACCGCAGCTTCTCATTCTGTACCCCAAACCTCAGGCAGGCATTCTCAGAAGTGCGTGCCTTGGTGGTCTCCTGCTTGTGCTCGTGCAGTACGTTTGAAACACGCTGCATGGGGCAGGTACCGGTACAATAGAACTGCTGAGAGACTTCTTGATTTTAAGCAGAAGCGTGTGATCGCTCGCCATGTTATCCGTGAAGCTAAACGCACTTGTTGGCGAGACTATGTTTCCACCATCACCTCTGCTTCTTCTATGAGTGCAGTCTGGAAAAAAGTGAGGAAATTGAGTGGTAAATGCTCTCCTGACCCGGCTCCTGTTCTACGGGTCGCTGGCGTTGATGTAGCAAACCCTCTCGACGTTGCCATTGAACTTGGCACACATCTGGTCCGTATTTCCCGAGGGCTCCATCTATGCCCCTCGTTTCTTTCCTCAAAGTCTGCCAGAGAGTTAGTACCCTTGGACTTTTCTTCTCTCAGAGAAGAACAGTATAATGTGCCTTTTACACTTCAAGAACTAGAGGCAACGCTCTCAGCTTGCCGATCATCGGCAGCTGGGCCTGACGACATTCATATTCGTATGTTACAACATTTACATCGGTCAGCCCTTGTAGTCCTCTTACACCTCTTCAATCTTATTTGGGCACAAGGAGTTCTTCCCCAGCTGTGGAAATCTGCCATTGTTCTCCCTTTCCGCAAACCGGGTACTACAGGACATGATGCCCCCACTATCGTCCCATCGCTCGTACTAGTGCAGTTGCAAAGTGATGGACGTCTCATAAATCGACGTTTAATGTGGTATTAGAGAACACAACAGTCTCTCCACTAGGAATATGGCTTTCGAGGGTCGTTCTACCATAGACCCCTTACTACGCTTGGATACGTATGTTCGTAATGCCTTTGCGAATAATCACTCAGTTATTGCCATATTTTTGACTTGAAAGGCATATGACAACAACTTGGAGGTATAATATTTTTGGCCCAGGCCCATTCCTTAGGCCTCCGAGGCAATCTACCATCCTTCCTTAAGAACTTTTTAACTGACAGACATTTCCGTGTTCGAGTCAATAATGTTCTTTCCCCGGACTTCGTCCAAGCTGAAGGTGTCCCTCAGGGATGTGTTCTAAGCACAACACTTTTTCTCCTTGCTATAAATGATTTGGCCTCTTCTTCCACCCAATATTTGGTCATCACTCTATGTTGATGACTTCGCTATTGCTTGTGCAGGCACTGACTGTCATCTTATTGCAGTTTCTCTCCAGCATGCGGTCGACTGTGTTTCCACTTGGGCCACCACGCATGGGTTTAATTTTCAAGTACCAAAACTCACCAAATTACTTTCACTAGACGCTCTGTTATCTCCGATCATCCTTTGTATCTCTATGGCTCCTGTATCCCTGAACGTGATACAGTCAGGTTTCTAGGCCTTCTCTTTGACCGTAGGTTATCCTGGAAACCTCACATTACCTCTCTGAAGGCAACTTGTCACAGCCGGCTAAACCTTCTTAAAGCCCTTGCTCATCTTTCCTGGGGAGCTGATCGTCGAACTCTGCTTCGCCTACATTCAGCCCTCGTTTTATCGAAACTCTATTATGGTGACCAAATTTATTCCGCGGCCTCTCCTGCTACACTCTCTAGCCTTAACTCTATCCATCACCAAGGATTACGTTTGTGCCTTGGTGCTTTTCGCTCTTCCCCTGTTGAGAGCCTCTATGCAGAAGCGAATGTTCCATCTTTGTCTGATCGCCGTGATGCCCATTGCCTTCGCTACTATGTACGCTCTCACGATCTCCACAATCCTTCCATTTATAGAATGGTCACCGATATTAGTAGACATTCTTTATTCGTTCGCCGCCCCTGTTTGCTCCGTCCCTTTTCTCTTCGCGTACATTCACTCTTGTCTTCCCTTCAGTTACCACCTTTATATGTTCATGTAGCATCTCACTTTTCCCTACCCCCCTGGAAAGTTCCAGCTGTTCGGGTCTGTTCTTTCTCACTCCCTTGCTCGAAAGCTCAACTGCCTACGGCGGCTTCCCGCTCTCTTTTTCTTGATCACTTCCACTCCCATTCTCATGCCACCGCTGTGTACACAGATGGCTCTAAGTCTTCAGACGGCGTCGGATTCGCAGCAGTGTTTCCGGACAGCGTCGTGAGGGGGCATTTACTATCTTCAGCTAACATTTTTACTGCTGAACTGTATGCCATTCTTGCAGCACTTATTCGTATCGCATCTATGCCTGTGTCATCATTTGTTGTAGTCTCAGACTCCCTTAGTGCTCTACAGGCTATACGAAAATTTGATACATCTCACCCCCTAGTTCTCCGTATCCAACTTTGGCTACGCCGTATCTCTACGAAGCATAAAGATATTATTTTTTGTTGGGTCCCTGGTCATGTCGACGTACAGGGCAATGAACAGGCAGACACTGCTGCGCGGTCAGCAGTACATGACCTACATTTCCTATGAGGTGTTCCATTTCTGGACTATTTTGCTACAATAGCTGCCCACCTTCGCGCCTGTTGGCAAACAACGTGGTCAACCTGCTGGTAACAAACTTCATTTCTATTAAACCGAGCATAGGTTACTGGCCGTCTTCTTGTCATCTGTGCCGTGGTTGGGAGACCACTCTCTCCCGTCTTCGCATTGGCCACACTCGTCTTGCTCACAGGTATCTCATGGAGAGGCACCCTGTACCTCTCTGTGAGCAGTGTCAAGTTCCAGTATCAATTAGCCACATTCTATTAGACTGCCCTCTCTATCAACAAGCACGCAGAATTTACCTCCAACGCCGTCTTCGTTCTACTACTCTCTCTTTACCTTCCCTTCTTGCTGATGGACCCTCCTTTAATCCTGACTCTCTCATTGACTTCTTGACAACGACTGATTTACTCCACAAACTCTGATGATGATACCTTACGCACTCCCCTCAGCCCTTTCTAGCTCAGTCTCTTGCTGCCCTTTACCCTTTCACCATCCACTGCTCCGCTGTTATCCATATCCTATTACTCATCCACCTCCCTTTTGCCACCTGATGCCCTCGCTTCCTTCCTGCCCTGCAGCGCTGTATAGCCCTTGTGGCTTAGCGCTTCTTTTTGATTATAATAATAATAAAATTGCATGATCCATCAAACTATTGAAGAAACCGTTAAACGTGGACCATTTAAAAGGTTGTATGGTGTATGATCCCTCTGACTCTTATGGGTTTATCGCTTAGTTATGATAACTTGAATATGAATTCAGTTTTAAACGTATGTGACAGTATATACACGAGAGAAACACTTCATACAACACTTCATACACGAGAGAAACACTTCATACACGAGAGGAACGCTTCATACAACACTTCATACACGAGAGGAACACTTCATACACGAGAGGAACGCTTCATACAACACTTCATACACGAGAGAAACACTTCATACACGAGAGGAACGCTTCATACAACACTTCATACACGAGAGGAACACTTCATACACGAGAGGAACGCTTCATACAACACTTCATACACGAGAGGAACGCTTCATGCAACACTTCATACACGAGAGAAACACTTCATACAACACTTCATACACGAGAGAAACACTTCATACAACACTTCATACACGAGAGGAACACTTCATACACGAGAGGAACGCTTCATACAACACTTCATACACGAGAGGAACACTTCATACACGAGAGAAACACTTCATACAACACTTCATACACGAGAGGAACGCTTCATACAACACTTCATACACGAGAGAAACACTTCATACAACACTTCATACACGAGAGGAACACTTCATACACGAGAGGAACGCTTCATACAACACTTCATACACGAGAGAAACGCTTCACACAACACTTCATACAACACTTCACACAACACTTCACACAACACTTCATACAACACTTCATACACGAGAGGAACGCTTCATACAACACTTCATACACGAGAGAAACACTTCATTACAACACTTCATACACGAGAGAAACCCACCTCATACAACACTTCATACACAGAGAGTAAAACACTTCACACAACACTCCCCAAACACTTCCACACAACACTTCATACAACACTTCATACACGAGAGGAACCTTCACACAATCATACACGAGAGAAAACACTTCACACACAACCCTTCATACAACACTTCACACAAAAAAACCTTCATAAAAAACTTCATACAACACTTCACACAACACTTTCATACAACACTTCACACAACATTCATACAACACTTCACAAAAAACACTTTCTTTACAAAACTTCACACAACACTTCATACAAACACTTTCATACAACACTTATACACCATTTTCATAAAACACTTCATACAACACTCAAAAACACTTCATACAACACTTCATACAACATTTCATACAACCTTCATACAACACTCATACAACACTTCATACACACTTCAACAACACTTCATACAACACTTCACACTACACTTCATACAACATTTTTCATACAACACTTCATACAACACTTCATACAAACTTCTTTCAACTTCACACAACACTTATACAACCTTCTTTACAACACTTCATACAACACTTCATACAACACTTCACACAACACTTCATACAAACTTTCATACAAAACTTCATACAACATTTTACACAACACTTCATAAACACTTCACACAACACTTCATACAACATTCATAACAACATTATAAACACTTCATACAACACTTCATCAACACTTCACACAACACTTCATACAATTCAACAACAACACTTCATAAACACTTCAAAACAACACTTCATACAAACTTCATACAACATTCACACAACACTTTTATACCACTTCATAACAACACTTCACACAACATTTTCATACAACACTTCATACAACACTTCATACAACACTTCATACAACACTTCATACAACACTTCATACAACACTTCATACAACACTTCATACAACACTTCATACAACACTTCATACAACACTTCACACAACACTTTATACAACACTTTCAATACAACACTTCATACAACACTTCACACAACACTTCATACAACACTTCATACAACACTTCATACAACACTTCATACAACACTTCACACAACACTTTATAAAACCCACTTTTACAACACTTCATACAACACTTCATACAACACTTCATACAACACTTCATACAACACTTCACACAACACTTTATACAACACTTCATACAACACTTCACACAACACTTCATACAACACTTCATACACGAGAGGAACACTTCAGAATATTTAAGACAGTTCAGAGATAACTTTTCATACGATACTAAATTACTGCACCAAGATCATGGTTATATTAACAGGTTAAGAAATAGATCATTAACCCGCCTTAAAAACTATGTGAACAACCATTCAGGTCACTTACCAGCCTTGTCACTTACCAACCTGGTCACTTACCAACCTGGTCACTTACCAGCCAAGTCACCAACTAGGTCACTTACCAGCCAAGTCACCAACTAGGTCACTTACCAACCTGGTCACTTACCAACCTGGTCACTTACCAACCTGGTCACTTACCAACCTGGTCACTTACCAACCTGGTCACTTACCAGCCAAGTCACCAACTAGGTCACTTACCAGCCAAGTCACCAACTAGGTCACTTACCAACCTGGTCACTTACCAACCTGGTCACTTACCAGCCAAGTCACCAACTAGGTCACTTACCAGCCAGGTCAGCTACCAGCCAGGTTGCTTACCGGCCAGGTCACTTACCAACCAGGTCACTTACCAACCAGGTCAGCTACCAGCCAAGTCACTTACCAACCAGGTCACTTACCAACCAGGTCACTTACCAGCCAGGTCATAGGCAGAAGAACACAGAGCAGTACCATACCAGCAGAGGTCATCACCCGCACCGCCCACCGTCTGGTCACCACTTCACGCCCACACCACCACGCCCACCCAGCCACGCCCACCACCACTGCCACTACCACGGTCAGCCCCACGCCCACGCACAACCACCACGACCTACGAAAGAAAAGAGAGAGAAAGTTGACACTGGTGCAGTAATGTGATAACCACATTGGCTCTCAAATATATGTGACATAATCACATAGTCTGGAAAATATATGTGACATGACTACATATTCTTGAAAACGTGTAAATATGACTATCTTGTTCTATAAATTATAACGTAAGTAGTTCCATCTGTAAATTTAATATTATTATTATTATTAATTATTATTATTAGTGGTGGTAACAAAGACTTTATGTTCACCATTATTGTCACTACTACTACCATTACTGCTGCTGCTTGCTGCTGCTGCTGCTGCTGCTGCTGCTGCTACTGCTACTGCTGCTGCTGCTGCTGCTGCTGCTGCTGCTGCTGCTGCTGCTGCTGCTGCTGCTGGCTGCTGCTGCTGCTGCTGCTGCTGCTGCTGCTGCTGCTACTACTACTGCTGCTGCTGCTGCTACTACTACTACTACTACTACTACTACTACTACTACTACTACTACTACTACTACTACTACTGCTGCTGCTGCTGCTGCTGCTGCTACTACTACTGCTACTACTGCTACTACTACTGCTACTACTACTACTACTACCACAAGCACCAGTACTACTACTATCACCACAGTGGGCGTGAGACTGACCTGGTGGAAAGGGCGGCAGCTACCAGGGCGGCTAGGAGAAGGGCGTGGGCGGAAGCACAGGCTAGGGCGTGATGGTGGTGTTCGTGTGGGCGGCCTCTGTACTCCACCTCCCGTCTCCACCCCCACCACCCACTCTGCCACCTCCTGCAAATGTAACAACACCTGTTGTGATAGTTACCTGACGTGCCGCACCAGCACCTGTAGTAATAGTTACCTGAGGCTCAGTAGTCAGACTCGTTCTCCCTCTAACCCCAACAGAGGTACACAAATAAACGAAGACGTATACTACCTCTACAAAACATTATGGCCAAGCCTAGTGTGTCAGTCATCTCCCCCGCTGTTAAATAGCGTAAAAATGTTGTCAAATTGAAATCGCAATTGTTTATTGTCCAACTATATCCTAAAATATAAGAATAATGAAGAGGATTTTATTGGCATTGTTAACCCGGAGGATTAGCATAACCCAGAATAACCCAAGAAAGCCATTGTATCTGTCTTATTTCCAGTGTAGGTCATATATTAAGCGCTTGAGTATTCGTGTGGTAGATAGCCTTGCGATAGATACTCAGGGCATGGGTTTTACCAGAGTATTGCGCCACGCATATCCCCGACGTTGAGATAGAAGCTTACTGTGTGATGCTTGCGTCGTGAGGGCGTATGCACCAGCTGCCTGCTCCTACCACCAGTGTTAATCAGTCAGTGGGAGAGCCAGTTGGCATTGGCATTCTCTGCATTATTACCCATTAAATCTTCCGTTTATTGAGGTCTTCTCTTCCTATGTTGCTCTACAAGTAAGTCGACAGTTATCACAGATGTTGAACAAGTGTATTTCAATATGTCATCAAGTGCTTTTGTTTTATACCAGGAAAATAATGTTGGTCTCGGGAGGAAGCTTGAGGTACGCTAGCTGAACCTCTCTTCATGTATTATTTACTAATATATTAGTGTAATAAAGACGAATTAAAGTTATACGCAATTATTTGCATAAAATTTTAAGTCTTATTGTATTTATCTATACGAGTGACACTGTAAGTTACTGTGAATACACTTTCTCATTGTAGCTTTTATCAAATTTATTCAGACTACTACGAGTTTTATTTCGTCCACAGCACAATATTTCTCCTGAGCACACAATACTTAGTGTACCCATGAACACAGTATTCCTCCTAAACACACTAGTGTACCCATGAACACAGTATTCCTCCTAAACACACTAGTGTACCCATTTAACACAGTATTCCTCCTGAACACACTAGTGTACCCATGAACACAGTATTCCTCCTGAACACACTAGTGTACCCATGAACACAGTATTCCTCCTAAACACACTAGTGTACCCATGAACACAGTATTCCTCCTGAACACACTAGTGCACCCATGAACACAGTATTCCTCCTGAACACACTAGTGTACCCATGAACACATTATTCCTCCTAAACACACTAGTGTACCCATGAACACATTATTCCTCCTAAACACACTAGTGTACCCATGAACACAGTATTCCTCCTAAACACACTAGTGTACCCATGAACACAGTATTCCTCCTGAACACACTAGTGTACCCATGAACACAGTATTCCTCCTGAAAACACTAGTGTACCCATGAACACAGTATTCCTCCTAAAAACACTAGTGCACCCATGAACACAGTATTCCTCCTGAACCCCTAGTGCCACCATGAACACAGTATTCCTCCTGAACACATAGTGCACCCATGAACAGTATTCCTCCTGAACACACTAGTGTACCCATGAACACAGTATTCCTCCTGAACACACTAGTGCACCCATGAACACAGTATTCCTCCTGAACACACTAGTGCACCCATGAACACAGTATTCCTCCTTTAACACACTAGTGCACCCAATGAACACAGTATTCCTCCTGAACACACTAGTGCACCCATGAACACAGTATTCCTCCTGAACACACTAGTGTACCCATGAACACAGTATTCCTCCTGAACACACTAGTGCACCCATGAACACAGTATTCTCCCCCTAAAAACACTAGTGTATCCATGAACACAGTATTCCTCTGAACACACTAGTGTACCATGAACACAGTATTCCTCCTAAACAACTAGTGTACCCATGAACACAGTATTCCTCCCCAAACACACTAGTGCACCCATGAACACAGTATTCCTCCTGAACACACTAGTGCACCCATGAACACAGTATTCCTCCTGAACACACTAGTGTACCCATGAACACAGTATTCCTCCTAAACACACTAGTGTACCCATGAACACAGTATTCCTCCTAAACACACTAGTGTACCCATGACACATTATTCCTCCTGAACACACTAGTGCACCCATGAACACAGTATTCCTCCTAAACACACTAGTGTACCCAATGAACACATTTTTTCCCCCCTGAAAAACACTAGTGTACCCATGAACACAGTATTCCTCCTAAACACAAATAGTGACCCATGACACATTATTCCTCCTGAACACACTAGTGCACCCATGAACACAGTATTCCTCCTGAACACACTAGTGCACCCATGAACACAGTATTCCTCCTGAACACACTAGTGTACCCATGAACACATTATTCCTCCTGAACACACTAGTGCACCCATGAACACAGTATTCCTCTTGAACACACATGTGACCCATGAACACATTATTCCTCCTGAACACACTAGTGCAAAACCCCTGAACACAGTATTTCCTCTAAACACACTAGTGTACCCATGAAACCCTTATTTCCCCCTGAACACACTAGTGTACCCATGAACACATTATTCCTCCTAAACACACTAGTGTACCCATGAACACAGTATTCCTCCTAAACACACTAGTGCACCCATGAACACAGTATTCCTCCTAAACACACTAGTGTACCCATGACACATTATTCCTCCTGAACACACTAGTGTACCCATGAACACAGTATTCCTCCTAAACACACTAGTGTACCCATGACACATTATTCCTCCTGAACACACTAGTGTACCCATGAACACAGTATTTCCCCCTAAACCACAGTGTACCCATGAACACAGTATCCTCCTAAACCCACTAGTTACCCTAACACAGTATTCCCCCCCTAACACACCCAGTGCCCTATGAACACAGTATTCCTCCTAAACACACTATGTACCCAGATACATTATTCTCCTAACACACTATGTACCCATGACACATATCCCCCTGAACACACTAGTGTACCCATGACACATTATTCCTCCTAAACACACTAGTGCACCCATGAACACAATACCTTGACCTTCTCAATAAGGCACCACATATAACGGTATTATTTTCGTCATCATCAAACATCATACTAACACCTCACACAATACTGACCAGTGGATATACAAGACACATGTGCAACAACTGCCTATCTTTATTGATGATACGTTGTCCATGTATCTTGCTTGTCAGAAGAATGTTTTACACTGACAGTGTTGCCAGTATGGTAACTTCACACTGTTTCGTAGACAAGAACTTTACTTTAAAGACAGCATTTCGCCCATACATGGGCGTTATAAATAATCATAGGCACAAAGTGGGCATGACAATGTTTGACATATAAAAAAAAATAATCATAGAGCCAAGTGACATACAATGTTGACATATAAAAAAAGCTGAGGTGAGATGAGAGCAGTCCGGGTAAATAAAACACAGAATTTACTGTGAAATCACGGAATCGTGGTAACACATTGTAAACAAACCAGGGACCGGGGATTTGAACCCATGCAAGCGAGTGTTAAAACTCAAAACCCTGGTAAGCCCCAATGGGCCAGTGGGTGCAATAAGATCATCCAAATAAAGGGATATAATGCACCATAGGGAGGTTAGCATGGGCCACCTCTGTGACCACAAAACTTTGGGTATCAATTAAGAAACATAAGAATGTAAGAAAACTCAGAAGGCCTACTGGCCCCTACGAGGCAGGTCCTTATCAAAAAGACATCTACCTAAAGCTACTCAAGAAATAACTCCCGTACCCTTGACACCAACAAACCCAGCCCTCCCCCCTCATATTTTTGTCCAGTCTCTTCTTAAAGCTACCCAAGGTCCTAACCTCTATCACCCCACTGGGAGACTGTTCACGCATCTACAACTCTGTTAGAAAACCAGTTACTTACCTATGTCCTTTCTAAATCTAAATTTATCCAACTTAAATCCATTTTCCTGGTTCTTACCTGGTTCGACGCCCTCAGTATTTTATTAATGTCTCCCTTGTTTATGCCCGTAATCCACTTATACATTTCAATGATATCCCCCCTCATTCAAACGCCTCTCCAGAGGTGGGGGTTTTTAAGGCTTTAAGTCTATCTTCATACGGGAGGTTCCTTACACAGAAAATCTTTTTTAGTCATTTTTCTCTGTATGTTCTCTAATGAGTCTATGTCCATCCTGTAGTAAAGGGGCCCCAAAACTGAGCAGCATAATCTAAATGAGGCCCACTAGTGATGTATATAGAGCTGTAAAATAACTTTTGGATTTTTTGTTACTTATACTTCTTGAGATAAATCCAAGTAATCTGTTGGCCTTGTTGCGCACACTGAGGCATGCTGTCTTGGCTTTAGATTTCTGCTTTACCATGACTCCCAAGTCTTTTCACATTCTGTATGACCAAGCTCTACTTCACCAGATTATAGCTTCGAGGGTTTATTTTCATTACCAAGGGAAGTACCTTACACTTATCCACATTAAACTTCATCTGCCATTTCTAGACCAAGACATTAATTTGTTAAAAATCGTCCTGGAGTTCATTGATATCCTCCTCAGAGTGAATTATACGGCCTATCTTTGTATCATCAGCCAAATTACTCATGTCACTAGTAATCCCTTCATCAAGGTCATTAATGTAAATTATGAACAAGAGAGGGCCTAAAACTGTTCCTTGTGGAATGCCACTAGTGACTAATCCCATTCAGATTTCACTCCATTAATGGTAACTCTAGGCTTTCTATGGTAAGCCATGCCTCAATCCATGCTAGAACTTACCTCCTATACCATGAGCTGCCACTTTCTTAAGGTCTCTTGTGAGGTTTCTTTTCGAAGGCTTTACTAAAATCCAAATAAACAATATCATATTCCTTATCACTGTCAACTCCCTCAAATGTTCTATTAAAGAACGTCAGTAAGTTTGTCAGGCAGGAACGACCTCTCGTGAATCCATGCTGAGATTCATTTATCAAGTTATGCTCTTCAAGGTGACTTCTGATAATGTCAGCTATAATTGATTCTAATAACTTCCCCACTATAGATGTCAGGCTTATTGGACGGTAATTTGAAGGAGTGGACTTATCCCCTGATTTGAATATAGGAACCACATTAGCCATCTTCCACATCTCTGGCACAACACTGGTAAGGATGGACGCATTGAATACACTCGTTAATGGCTGACTAAGCTCCATCTTGCATTCCCTTAAGTACCCTTGAAAACAACTATCGGGTCCGGGGACTTATTTTGTTTCAGTTTGTCTATCTGTTTAATAACCATGTCCCTCGTGACTGTAAAATTAGTTAACTTAAATTCATCAGGAACTAAATAATTGTTAATTACTGGAATCTCATTTACATCTTCCTTTTGTAAAAACTGACAAAAAATAGTCATTAAATAAGGAACACATTTCCAGTTCATTATCCGTCAGCTGTCCATTCCCAGATTTCAGAGGCCCTACTTTTTCCTTCACCTTCGTCCTATACATTTGAAAGAACCCCTTTGGATTAGTCTTTGTTTCCCATTAGCGACTCTAATTTCATAGTCACGTTTAGCCTTTCTAATCGCCTTTTTTACTTCTCTTTTAAGTGAACATATTGGTCAGTAAGGTTAACCTCTCCTCTTCTGATGCGCCTATAAATTCCCCTTTTCTCCCTAATAGATGCTTTTTGCCTCCTGTTAACCCATTTGGGATCGTTATTATTAGACCTAATTTCTCTCTGGGGAATGTATATACTCGGGGATGTGTACATTATTAAGAAAACAAAACAAAAAGCAGATCCCTTATATTCATAAGTATGATTATCGTCAATAAAATCATTAGCTAGATAACCCCAATCAAGATTAGACAGATGTTCCCTAAGTCCCTTATAATCGGCAGAACGAAAATCGGGGATTTTTACTGTATTATCATTTTTTCTTGCATTCCCAATTAAAAGCTAAAGGTGATGGATTTGTGATCACTTGCGCCAAAGCTCTTCAGTGATCTCCAGATTATTCACGAGGTGTTTCCTTATTTGACAAGACTAGGTCTAGCAAATTATTACCCCTGGTAGGCTCAGTTACACTCTGTTTCAGAAAACAGTCCTGAACTGTTTCCCCTGAAGTCACTGGACTCTAGATTACCTGTCAAGAATTCCAGTCAATTGGCTAAAGTTAAAGTCCCCTACTATGACTACGTTACTGTGTCCAGAAGCCCTAACAATTTCGTCCCAAAGAAGTCTCCCTCTATCGTGATCCAAGCCTGGAGGTCGGTATATTACACCTAGAATTAGTTTTTCTTGACCCCTCCACGAACTCTACCCAAACAGACTCTGTTACTGCTCCATCTATTTTTATACCTTTTTTTATGCAACAATTAAATTTTTCGAACATACAATGCAACTCCTCCCCCCTTCCCATTACATCTTTTCCACATTGAATAACTTAAACCCTGAATATTACACTCAGCAGTCATATCCCGACTCTTTAAATCATACCACGTTTCAGTTAATGCAATGATATCAAAGTTCCCAGCACATGCTACCAAACGTAGTTCATTAATTTTATTTCTTGCACTTCGACTGTTAGCATAAAACACCATCATATGTTTTTTCTTCTGCACATTTTTCCTATTCATCTTTGTTTTTACACAATTTCTGAAATTATCATTACCCAGAGTTACTCCATGACAGTTACTCTTAAGATTCTTAATATCAGAGCATAAGTCAATATATCCATACTCATTATTAATCATTTCTAAACCCATACCTCTAACTAATCCTAGTTTAAAGTCCTAACAACCCCCTCAACTGAGTTAGCAAGAAAACCCACACCTGCAGTAGTCTTTTTCAGTCGAATACAGAGGTGATTTTGATACTAGAGACAGTGGAGGGAGTGTGACGTAATATGGATGATTTTAGTACTGGAGATGGTGGAAGAGTGGACACGCTTCTAGTGTTTTTCCGGGTTTAGCGCTTCCCCTTGATTATAATAATAATTCTAGTGTTTTTAGTTTAGTATCTTTATTATTCACGCCCATACACATTCTCTGGGTGGTAGACTAAAGATTACAGAGGCACATTAATGGGTCCAGTGTTACACTCATATTCGACTGAAGACGCCTGCTGCACAGTTGAAACGTTTCGCCAGTTAAGAAATTCTAATGGGTCACATGCCAGAAGGACCTGGCAAGGATCAGTAGTACATGAATCGTATACATTACCGACAAGATGAACAATTAGACACATGTGCAGATGTATTTAATTCTTTATGGACCAGTAGGCCAACTGAAGTGCTCCTCCGTTCTTATATTCTCTTCGCAGGAGTGTGATAACAGTTGCTTGAGATGCCTGACCTGCTACGCAAGGTTGAAGAGGGTGAAGATGACCTCCCTCCCTTGGTGGCTAATGATGAACTCTCTAGACCTAAGGTGACCTCTCTAGTTTCTCATACTACCCCATTTATGACAACTCTGCCTCCTGTTAGTGAACCACGCCTTCATCAGTGAGAGATTAATTATCTAACACTGTTGTGTGTGGCATTTGATGCAGTGGAAAATATTAAAGAATACGATTTTGTATACGTGGGTTTTGGTATATAAAATCGTATTCTATATTATGAACCCTACCTAGGTGCCTTACTACTAGTTCTGCTAAATTTAATCGGCAGTGAACCAGTAATCCAGTTGAGATTATTCTTGAATTGTAGTTGTGGTTCTGATGCATTGACATTAAAGGATTCGATATTTTTTGTGTTTTAATGATGATTCTAAGGTGACCTCAGTGCCATACTACCATGTGTAATTTTGTAACATTGTGAATCACATGGGTTCTTGCATCAATCGAAGTTCATATTAACAGCATTTAGATGTGGATGTGATGTACATTTTAAGATAGAGTAAGTGGGTTGGCTAACTAGTGTATGTCTATTAAATTGTGATCAGTGTGTTATAGCAGTCTATACAGCAATGCTACAATATTGACAGCCTTTTGAATACAGTATGTACGAATCACCATTAGTTCTACTAGATACAAATTTGACGTGTGAACTACCTTACTTGCTACATATTACATTTACGTACCATATGTACACTACATATATACTACTAACTACATACTATTACTGTACTACCATTAATACTGCTACCATTATATACTACTACTACCATTACCTACATACTACTACTACTATACATTACTACACTACTACCATTTACATAACTACATTACTACTACTACTACTACCATACTACATTCTACTACTACTACCATTTACCATTACTACTTACTACTACTACCATTACTACTACTACATTACTACTACTACTACTACACCATTACTACTATCATTACTACTACTCACCATACTACTCATTACTACTATACTACTACTACTACTACATACTACTACTACTACATACTACTTACTATACTACTACTACTACTACTACTATTACTACTACTACCTACTACTACCATTACTACTACTACCATTACTACTACCATTACTACTACAACTACCACTACTACTACAACTACCATTACTACTACAACTACCATTACTACTACTACTACTACTGATGCATGGTGCCACCTCACTATAAAAGTAACCTCACTAAGTGTCTGAGTTAGACTAATAAAGCTCCTGCTGCACAAAACATCTACCAAATAAAGATACTCAGGTCTTACACGTGTTTTGTTCGTCAGCGTATCGATAGCTAGGTTTTAATAATTTTAGATAAAACTTGCTCGCTATTCTGCATAATGCGGGAAGTGTTAAGTCAACTTGTTAGTTTTTCTGTGAGATGAAAGATTTTGACATAATGTTTCCAGACCCTTGTAGGTTTAGCTCTTAGTTTTAATTGTGATAATAAGAAAATTTATTTTCTTATGCCCAATGTACCAACTGACGGTTATAAATTAGGGTTACTGTATATAAGGGACGGGAGACGAGGGAAATCTCCCTCGATCATCCTAGTGATATTAAAAAACATACATTATCTTCGTAATTATTAATATCGTTGTCTATCATTCACTCAGACCATTGATGAGATCTTTGGTGATGAACCTGATCGCTCATGTACACTGGAGATCACTCAGAAACAGAAGGAAAAACAGAGCAACAGATACGTCAACGCTACCATCGGTATCATCTCCATCCTCTTCATCACCATCCCTTTCTTCATCATCAAATATGTTTTCGGTATTAACATCATCTAGGAAAGTGGGGTCACAAAATTCTGTTATCCTTGTGTCATAGTTTCATCAGTCTTGTACAACTCTTGAAGTCTTGTATTATTACCTGTGTACACCTTTGTATAGATTTGTAAAGTAACCATAACAAATAATGTCTGAGATAACCTACAGATAGAACAATATACTACTATCGAAACGAAAGCTTTGTGTGTGTGTGTGTGTGTGTGTGTGTGTGTGTGTTACCATTTTGTCCTAGGCACATGTCGATTAGACACTAGGCCTGTTGTGTGTGTGTGTGTGTGTGTGTGTGTGTGTGTGTGTGTGTGTGATGTTGTGTGTGTGTGTGTTGTGTGTGCGCGCGGTGTGTGTGTGTGTTACCATTTTGTCCTAGGCACATGTCGATTAGACACTAGGCCTGTTGTGTGTGTGTGTGTGTGTGTGTGTGTGTGTTACCATTTTGTCCTAGGCACATGTCGATTAGACACTGGTGTTGTGTGTGTGTGTGTGTGTGTGTGTGTGTTTTCATTGTGTGCTGGCCTGTGTTAGGACTAGGTGTTGTGTGTGCGCGGTGTGTGTTGTGTTGTTGTGCTGGTGTGTGTGTGGCTGCGCGCGCTGTGTGTGTGTGTGTTACATTTGTCCTAGGTACATGTTTAGCCCAAGGCATGTTGTGTGGACCTAGGGTTGTGTGTTCCTTTTTGTCTAGCACATGTCGAATAGTGTGTGTGTGTGTGTGTGTTTTGTATATATATATATATATATATATATATATATATATATATATATTATATATATTATCCATGGGGAAGTGGAACAGAATTCTTCCTCCGTAAGCCATGCGTGTTGTAAGAGGCGACTAAAATGCCGGGAGCAAGGGGCTAGTAATCCCTTCTCTAGTATAAATTACTAAATTTGAAAAGAGAAACTTTCGTTTTTCCTTTTGGGCCACCCTGCCTCGGTGGGATACGGCCGGTTTGTTGAAAGAAAATATTCAAACAGCTCCTGGGAGAACCTTGAGTTTTCCCTGAGGTACGTTTATTGTCTTCCCTGAGCATGAGGCTCCCTAGTCCATCTATAGAGGTGGTACCTCCCTCTATATATATATATATATATATATATATATATTTTTATTATATATATATATATATATATATATATATATATATATATATATATATATATATACATACAATATATATAAATCGCTTTCGTTATTCATCACATTACCAAGGAATAGTAAAAATAATAGAAGAGCTGATATATAACCTGACACATGATCGTACACTAGACTAAACACGCCGAGTGTGGCAGTGTAGTGAATATCTGGTCGGGTCACATGTCTAGTGAAATTTATGAGTGACATGTCAGACAGCTTAAATTCATCCCATATTCTATTATAAATGAATCTAATGTATTTAACCCTGAACCAATATTCACATCAAAATCAAAGTTATTTTTTTCTGAAACGTGATTCAATTATGTTTCTCTCAACCAGAGACCTGCTTGATACAACTTTTTCGGCCATTTGAAAATCAATTGGATGGTTAAAATCTCTCTCAAGACTTTTTCCAGTTTGACCGTAGTAAACTTCATGACATTTTTTACAGGGAATCTTAGAGATACAGCCATCAGCATTTTTTTTTGGGGGGGGGAGAGAGAGGGGAATTCTTAATCAATTTTTTTTTACTGTATCAAGATTTTCAATACAATTTTTATTTTAAAATTCTTAAGCAGAGAGGGTATATCAAGAAGGTTTTCATGGCAAGGGAGAACTAACATATTCTTGATTGAATATATTTCTTTATCTCTTTTTCTTTATTAAAATTCGAATTTTAAAATGTACTTCTGGTGGAGTGTTAATGTTGATATTTTTAGGCACATGTGTAATATTAATATTTTGAAAAGTATCGGCTTTTTTTTTAACTGATATTGGTACTGTAAAAATGACCGATATCATATATATATATATATATATATATATATATATATATATATATATATATATATATATATATATATATATATATATATATATATATATATATAATGTCGTGCCGAATATGTAAAACTGGTCAATTAGCAAGAACTTATTTAAAATTAAGTCCTTTCTAAAATTTTCTCTTATACGTTTAAAGATACAATTTTTTCATTAATTTTAATTATTTTTTTTTAATTTTGCTCCAAAAGAATCTTACAAAACTTACCTAACCTTATTATAACAAGAACAATTTATTTTAGCCTAACCCAATTAAATATATTTTAGATTTGTTTACAATAATTTAATACTAAACAAACACAGTGAAATATATTTTTTTTCGTTAGGTTCTGAATGATTTTGGCGAAATTATTGCATACACAAATTTTCACTTGTCCTATATGGCAAGATGAGCGTTGCTGTTTAAGCCAAGATCGCAAGTTCTGCCTATTCGGCACGACATATATATTATATAGTCTGACACATGACACGTTACTATGTATGATAATTTGTGTAACTATTTGTGTGCACCTGTACTTAAATAAACTTATTAACCATTATTTTAGATTCGCTGCCTCTTTCCCTAGGAGCTAAATGACCCTTATGGTTTTAGCGCTTCTACACGAATGTAATTATATTTTTTAGAGGAAGGGCTAAATCAGTAAGGGTCATAGAGCAATTATTGATCATCATCAAGGATCCCAATGGAAATAAGTCACTTTGATTTCTTTTTGTTATACTATGTAATTTACACATGTTACTATGTATGATAATTTGTGTAACTGTATTTATGTGTACTTGTACCTAAATAAACTTATTTACTTACTAACCAACATCATCATATAGAAATATTATATATTATAAATATATAAATATATATTATAAATAAATAAATATGAGGTCGTTCTCCCTGGCTGGCACCGCAAGACGTTTTCTTTAACAGTGAAGGAGAATGAGAGTGTCATTGAGTCAGTGGAGCAGCGAGCGAAGGAGGGAGCAGCTGTGTCGACCACACCTCTGTAAGTTTTGTTGTTGAACACAGATTGAGGCGTTGCGAAGGTATTGTTGTGAGGGAACATCAACAGGGAGGAACAACGGTGGGTGAGACGAGTGACATCAACAACGTCACTGCAACAGTAACCAACCAACACTGCTGGTGAGTTTAGCCACATAACCATTGTTAATGTTTTTTTCTGCTGTTAACACTTAGTTCAATTTAATACCTATGTTTACACTCACAACCAAGTCCTGGGAAGTGTATTTTCACGCAGATTATTCTGTAACCTCTTACCCCTCTGTTTTTATTTCCGTGGTTAAGAGGCAACACTTGTACTTTTCCAAGACCAGGTGAAATGTGTGGAGTATTGGGTTTCGGAAACCTGAAACCTCAAGAAAAGAAAATAACTTGGCTAGCAGACACCAGTGATGAAGCCACTTATTGTTTAGCTTTGAGTTACAAATAGTTTGTATGAGAGTCATGCGCGGGGCTTTACATAATGCTGTCTAGTTGTTTTTTATTCGCCGGTATTCTCCTTAATGAGTTTTATATTATAGCTCTGAAATTTCAGCCTCGGTCTACAAACGAAACTTTTGTCTTAAAATCATTATTTTCGTAGTAATTTTTGAATGGTAAATTAATATTGAGAATTATACATTAGATATATAATTATTCTTAATTTATATTTTTTTTATATATTTATAACGTTATTGCAATAAGATCACAGTAAACAGGTGATATCACAATATACAAAGCAACCATTATGAAAAATAGTGAACTTCCAAGCGTTTCGTGACTTACATAATCAAATCATGGTAATATTCTTATGATTGGGTACAGTAAATTACCTAGGCAGTCTTATTGTGAATTACTGTCCTAATTAATGAAGTATGTAAAATATATTAAGTTTTTTTTTTTCCATAAAATGGCATAGCCATCCCTTGCAAGCTGTGTCTGGGGGGTTGTGGGAGGGGATGTATTGTAAATACATAATGATCAGTTTCCATACTAAGGTACGGGTTGAGGCTTGAGGCGCCACTATAGCTCCTGGTCCTGTAAAGTCAAGGCAGGTTTGAGTGGCCTTTTCTACAAGAACTAGTTTCAACTGTTTTAGCTGTGTAGTAAATAGGCTTAATTAAGTTGTATGGCAACGCATTTAATATTAAAACAGTTCTACCAGGTAACCTGGAGGTTACCTGGAGGTTATTCCGGGGATCAACGCCCCCGCGGCCCGGTCCATGACCAGGCCTCCCGATGGATCAGGGCCTGATCAACTAGGCTGTTACTGCTGGCCGCACGCAGTCCAACGTACGAGCCACAGCCCGGCTGATCCGGCACTGACTTTAGGTATCTGTCCAGCTCTCTCTTGAAGGCAGCCAGGGGTTTATTGGCAATTCCCCTAATGCTTGATGGGAGGCTGTTGAACAGTTTTGGGCCCCGGACACTTATGGTGTTTTCTCTTAGTGTACCAATGGCGCCCCTACTTCTTATTGGGGGCATTTTGCATCGCCTGCCCAGTCTTTTACTTTCGTAGGGAGTGATTTCTGTGTGCAGATTTAGGACCATTCCTTCCAAGATTTTCCAAGTGTAGATTATGATATATCTCTCCCTCCTGCGTTCCAACGAGTACAAGTCAAGTGCTTCCAAGCGTTCCCAGTAGTTAAGGTGCTTGACAGAACTTATACGTGCAGTAAAGGATCTCTGTACACTCTCTAGATCTGCGATTTCACCTGCTTTGAATGGAGATGTTAATGTACAGCAGTATTCCAGCCTAGAGAGAACAAGTGATTTGAAAAGGATCATCATGGGCTTGGCATCTCTCGTTTTGAAAGTTCTCATTATCCATCCTATCATTTTCTTTGCACGTGCGATCGTGGCACTGTTGTGATCCTTGAAAGTAAGCCTATCATGGTTATGAATAGCACTCATTGAGCTTTACATTAGTCTAATTTGGCATTGCAGGATCAGAAGTATTGTTTGGCTCTGCAATGGCAAATTAACATTTATAAATATCCTGTTTTGATAAGCTAGTTCTCGACTGGTTATCTCTCGTAAGCAATACCAGTTTCATAATTGTTCAGTTTTTTTTTTTTTCACGTAGCCTAGACACCAAATTGTCGCCTTGTGTTCTAAACTTACAAATGTCAGAATTTAATACACAAATAACCGCATATAGGAGAGAGAGAGGATCTTGCGACGTTTCGGTCCGACTTGGACCATTTACAAAGTGATTTTTGTTAATGGTCTAAGTCTGACCTAAACGTCGTCGTAAACTCCTCTCTTCTATGCACTGGTTATTTGTGTATTATTCCAGTCGCGGTATTTTGCCTTTTTGTTCTTCGTCAAAATTTAATATTAGGCAAATTTGCATTTTATTTTAAATATAATGATAGTGTGTCCTAGCACGAGCTAGTTCAGGAAGAGAGCTGAAAGGTACCTAATGAATGAAACTACAGAAAGGAAGAGTGATTTCTGTTGAGCCAACATTCGTGTACCTATTATTGTCAAGTTGATCCTCTTTAATATTAATAACTGTTTATTCCTATTATGTCTCCTTTTATTGCAAATTGATTTTCACACGTTTGAGTTACTTCTCTGTTTTAACTTTTAAGGTTTGTTTAGTAAGATATTACAAGAAATAAGTAATTTTGACTTTCTTGGGGGTTATCGTAGGTTATTTACACTGATAGTTGAACTTAGGTGTACCTGTGCCTAAAAGAAACTTGGGTATTGGGAAGCTATTGTAATACTACAGTAGCAGTAACAATACGAATATTATTCAGTAAGGAAAGTTTAGAGGAAGAATGAGAGAGAGAGTCTTAGAAAAGTTTGAGTTAACCTCATTAAGCAAGTTGACAGACAGCCATGCATGCCCATGTTGCAACACCTTGACCGCCACCCTCTGCCTTTCACCCTCTTGACCCTCGCCGTTAAGGAATTGCTTGGATTTCCAGTTTGTAGACTTGGTAAGCATATTGTGCGTGGTTCGCCCCCGGGGGACCGTGAACTCGTTGCGTGGTTCCGCCCCCGGGAGACCGTGAACTCGTTGCGTGGTTCCGCCCCCGGGAGACCGTGGGCTCGTTGCGTGGCTCGCCCCGGGGGACCGTGGGCTCGTTGCGTGGTTCGCCCCGGGGGACCGTGGGCTCGTTGCGTGGTTCGCCCCGGGGGACCGTGGGCTCGTTGCGTGGTTCGCCCCGGGGGACCGTGGACTCGTTGCGTGGCTCGCCCCGGGGGACCGTGGGCTCATTGCGTGGTTCGCCCCGGGGGACCGTGGACTCGTTGCGTGGCTCGCCCCGGGGGACCGTGGACTCGTTGCGTGGCTCGCCCCGGGAGACCGTGGACTAGTTGCGTGGCTCGCCCCGGGAGACCGTGTACTCGTTGCGTGGTTCGCCCACGGGGGACCGTGGACTCGTTGCATGGCTCGCCCCGGGGGACCGTGGACTTGTTTGGTTCATCCCGGGGACGGTAAACACTTTGCATGTCCATTTCATCATAACATCTGGTATATATATCAGGCTGATGGATATGTGGGGCCAGCAGCAACAACCTGGTTGACCAGACTAGCCCCCAGATAATCCTGGCTCAGGACTGAGCTCCAGGAGTAGGAAAACTCGGAACTCGTAAAAAAAAATTATGACTCGACAAAATTAAATAAAATTATTTTTAATATAGTTTACCTGGGCATCAGAATTTACAAAGACAGACAATACATTAGTTCCCCATGACTCAAGTCTACCAGAAATATACTACAATAATATACTGGAATAACATAGATACCAAGGAAGTATGTGATGAAAATGATTTTGAAAAACAAAGAAGAATGAGACCTTGTGGCAACATTTTGGAATTTTCATTAAGGAAACGTTTCGCCAGTCAGTGGCTTCTTCAGTCTAATACAAAGAATGGTGGAAGATGAGGTAGTTTGACGTAGTCAGTCCCTCAGACTGAGGGACTGATTACCTCAGACTCCTTATCTTCCTCTTCTCTGTATTGGACTGAAGAAGCCACTGGCTGGCGAAACGTTTCCTCAAAGATTCCCAAATGTTGCACAAGTCTTTCTTCAAGCAAGCAAATACTGGGTTACCAAGCAGGGATATGCCGGGTTACCAAGCAGGGATATGCCGGGTTACCAAGCAGGGATATGCCGGGTTACCAAGCAGGGATATGCCGGGTTACCAAGCAGGGATATGCCGGGTTACCAAGCAGGGATATGCCGGGTTACCAAGCAGGGATATGCCGGGTTACCAAGCTGGGATATGCCGGGTTACCAAGCTGGGATATGCCGGGTTACCACAGTGCCAGGGATATGCCGGGTTACCAAGCAGGGATATGCCGGGTTACCAAGCAGGGATATGCCGGGTTACCAAGCAGGAATGCCGGGTTACCAAGCAGGGATATGCCGGGTTACCAAGCAGGGATATGCCGGGTTACCAAGCAGGGATATGCCGGGTTACCAAGCAGGGATATGCCGGGTTACCAAGCAGGGATATGCCGGGTTACCAAGCAGGGATATGCCGGGTTACCAAGCAGGGATATGCCGGGTTACCAAGCAGGGATATGCCGGGTTACCAAGCAGGGATATGCCGGGTTACCAAGCAGGGATATGCCGGGTTACCAAGCAGGGATATGCCGGGTTACCAAGCTGGGATATGCCGGGTTACCAAGCTGGGATATGCCGGGTTACCAAGCAGGGATATGCCGGGTTACCAAGCAGGGATATGCCGGGTTACCAAGCAGGGATATGCCGGGTTACCAAGCAGGGATATACTGGGTTACCAAGCAGGGATATGCCGGGTTACCAAGCAGGGATATGCCGGGTTACCAAGCAGGGATATGCCGGGTTACCAAGCAGGGATATACTGGGTTACCAAGCAGGGATATGCCGGGTTACCAAGCAGGGATATGCTTGGTTACCAAGCAGGGATATACTGGGTTACCAAGCAGGGATATGCCGGGTTACCAAGCAGGGATATACTGGGTTACCAAGCAGGGATATGCCGGGTTACCAAGCTGGGATATGCCGGGTTACCAAGCAGGGATATGCTTGGTTACCAAGCAGGGATATGCTTGGTTACCAAGCAGGGATATGCTTGGTTACCAAGCAGGGATATACTGGGTTACCAAGCAGGGATATACTGGGTTACCAAGCAGGGATATACTGGGTTACCAAGCAGGGATATGCCGGGTTACCAAGCTGGGATATGCCGGGTTACCAAGCAGGGATATGCTTGGTTACCAAGCAGGGATATACTGGGTTACCAAGCAGGGATATACTGGGTTACCAAGCAGGGATATACTGGGTTACCAAGCAGGGATATACTGGGTTACCAAGCAAGAGTAATTGTTAATTTGTGAAGAAAATGAAATTAGCATATTAAAGTTAAAAATTAAGATCTCTTGGTTGTATCAACACGGGAAATACATTTAACAATGTTATCGCCATGATACTTGACTTCATAATCGTATGGTAATTGATTTAGCCTTTTGTTTAACACTTTGTTAACGTGAGTATTATTCCCATGTTAACTAAAGTTACATTGTGACGGAGCATATTGCAAGCCGGCTGCCGCATTGTTTATGTATAAGACGCAAGATAAGATAAGATTTCGTTCGGATTTTTAACCCCGGAGGGTTAGCCACCCAGGATAACCCAAGAAAGTCAGTGCGTCATCGAGGACTGTCTTAACTTATTTCCATTGGGGTCCTTAATCTTGTCCCCCAGGATGCGACCCACACCAGTCGACTAACACCCAGGTACCTATTTGCTGCTAGGTGAACAGGACAACAGGTGTAAGGAAACGTGTCGAAATGTTTCCACCCGCCGGGAATCGAACCCAGGACCTCCGTGTGTGAAGCGGGAGCTTTAGCCACCAGGCCACCGGGCCACGCAGGAGTTCGTATTCAGTAGTGTAGCCTAATAGGTTTAATTTATATTGAATGTTTCTTGGAGCATTATTTATTTACTTTTTTTTTTTTTTTTGCAACCAGGTTGAGAATACAAGTATAGCTGCCCTTGAAGTACTCGAGTACTTCAAATAAGATAAACCAATACCATGTTGCAATGATAACCTCGCCAAACTCCTCCCCTTCTCACCCCCTTCTCCCTTCCCCTCCTCTCCCTCCCGCCCCACGATAGCCATGCTAGACAGGAAACCATTGCTATTGTTCACCACTATGTAACTGGCACAGTAGGGTAGCAACACAGCTGATATGTCCGCATTTCAGTTACTGAAAATTACACCTAATACCCCATTCTCTATTTCTCGCCTCTCCCACTTGTCATTCCTTCCTCTATCCCTTATTTTTCCAAGCTGCTGCCGCCTGACCCCTCAAGGAAGGTTCCTTGATGTTGGTGAGGGGCTCTTGATTTAGGGAATTGGATCTGTGCTCCAGTTCCCCGAATTAAGCCTGAATGCCTTCCACATCCCCCCCCAGGCGCTGTATAATCCTCCGGGTTTAGCGCTTCCCCCTTGATTATAATAATAATAATGCTGCCGCCTGAGCTTACCTTTTCACCTTAGTCATCTTTCCGTTGTCGCGTTGCCAATTCCTTTCCCCCTGTTGCCCATTCTCCCTTCGCTCTTAGTCTCCATCTGCTTCCCCCATCCCTCCTCCACCTCGTCCCCATACCTCTTCCTCCCCCTCTCTCCCTCTACCTCGTCCCTCCCTCCTACTACCTCTTCATCTCCCCTCCACCTTACAGTTACCACTTCAACACTGCTTGCGGTATATATATAACAGTGAATATCAGTTATTATAAAAAAAAAAAACACTACCTTGCAGCCTACAGAAAAAAGGACCTTGGCATCATATTGTCAGTTATTAAAGTCAGCAGCCAGTGGATGCAGCCGTGAAAAGATCCAAACAGTCGTGCAACTAATGTGGAAAAAAAAAGAATGACCCTCATTGCATCACTGTACTGTGTGTTGAAGCTTGGAAATCCCGGCCAGGAGCGGAGGCTAGCTACCCACAATATATATATTAGAAGTGTTAAAAATGGTATAAAATACCGACAAGTTGATGATTAAGAACGTCTAACTGCTGGGTATCTTTATTGTTGAGAAGTTTCTTCAGTCCAATAGTAGGAGTAGCAGTTGACTCTGTATTTGAAGCCTACTGTGTAGGCGACACGTTTCAATAGTAAAGATACCCTTCTGTTGCACATGTCTTGCTCATAAACAGAGTATATACCAAAACAAAAGTTAGTTTTAAAGACTATCAACTGAGAAGGAGAGAGAGTTTGCCTGTAACATTTTCACCATCAGTCATGACTACTTTAATCCCTGAAAAAGGAATTAGATGAACTGAATAAAGCTAGATGTACTCTTCTCGGGCCAGTAGGCTTGCAACAATGCTCTTAAGTGGGTGTGACTTGGACCTGCCTTGCAAGGGCCAATGGGCCTACAGCAATGTTTCTTAAGTTTTTATATATCCTGGTTATTAAGTACACCACCACTATACCTGTTGCCTCTGTATTTGAAGAAGCCTGCTGTGTAGGCGAAACGTTTCGACAGTAAGATACCCAACTGTTCGACATGCGTCTTGCTCATCAACTTGTCGCCCTTGTGGCTTAGCGCTTCTTTTTGATTATAATAATAATAATAATAATCATCAACTTGTCGGGACTTTCTACCATTTTCAACACGAGGTGCAACACGGCCAGTGAGAATACTCCCGGAAAAAATTTGATTCATTTGCATCCTCGACCTTGCCAGGTTAAATATGCTTTATTACCAAGATATTCCGAGATAAATGGTATAAAATATCAACACGGTGGAAATCAACACAAATGCTGGCAATATTTCGCCAAACATAGTGGACGTTTGTGTTGATTTTTCCTAGGCATCCCGAGGATAAATCCTTTAACATCGTGATAAGCTCACAAGCTAACGGCTTATTAAATGAGGAATGATCACGACACACTGAGCATGGGGAGGGGGGGCAATATGAACACCGACCACTTGTTCAAATGTACCAAAAAAAAAAAAAAAATTGTTCAGTATTATAATGAACATCGACGATTGGCAGATACTGCCGGGAAGCATGACGCTTTGTGATAAAACTTTTAAAATTGCACAAATACCCGGTACATGGGAGGAAGAGAGAAAAGTGTATGACGACGTTTCGGTCCGATTTAGACCAGTCACATTCACACTGACTTGTGAATGGTCCAAGTTAGACCGAAACGTTGTCATAAGTTTTTCTCTCTATGTGCGGGTTATTTGCGTATTGCTCCAATCACGGTATTGTGCCTTTGTTATTTTTTGAAATTATAGCTGACAGTTTCTCCTGTTAGAACTCTATCGAGGTTTAGCCAGATCCAAACTATCTATAATGGTTTTGCTGTACATGGAGTTCCTACCATGCAGGACGCCTCTTGCCACATGGAAAAAGTGCTTTGCAAAACCCTTCTGGTAATGTTTGTAGAATTACCGAGTGTTAAGTGAAGAAACGTATGTGCAGCTAATGTGTCATGTTGGTGAATTTAGGCACATGTGCAACACTTGGGTGTCTTTTACTGAGGAAACGTTTCGCCTCAGTGGCTTCATTAGTCCCATACAAAGAATGGTGAAAATCAGGAGCTTGAGGTAACCAGTCCCTCAGCCAGGCTGAGGGACTGGTTACCCGACACCTGGGGAAAACACTAGTTTCAAAACTTGCGTTTAATAATTCTTGTAGGAGACCAACTGTTAGAGCTTCGTGCCTCAGGTCCGGGGCTTCGTGCCTCCAGGTCCGGGGCTTCGTGCCTCCAGGTCCGGGGCTTCGTGCCTCCAGGTCGGGGCTTCGTCTCAGGTCGGGGCTTCGTGCCTCCAGGTCCGGGGCTTCGTGCCTCCAGGTCCGGGGCTTCGTGCCTCCAGGTCCGGGGCTTCGTGCCTCCAGTCCGGGGCTTCGTGCTCCGGTCCCGGGGCTTCGTGCCTCCCGGTCCGGGGCTTCGTGCCTCCCGGTCCGGGGCTTCGTGCCTCCCGGTCCGGGGCTTCGTGCCTCCCGGTCCGGGGCTTCGTGCCTCCAGGTCCGGGGCTTCGTGCCTCCAGGTCCGGGGCTTCGTGCCTCCAGGTCCGGGGCTTCGTGCCTCCAGGTCCGGGGCTTCGTGCCTCCCGGTCCGGGGCTTCGTGCCTCCAGTCCGGGCTTCGTGCCTCCAGTCCGGGGCTTCGTGCCTCCAGGTCCGGGGCTTCGTGCCTCCAGGTCCGGGCATTCGTGCCTCCGTCGGGGCTTCGTGCCTCCGGTCCGGGCTTCGTGCCTCAGGTCGGGGCTTCGTGCCCACACAGACCACTTAATCTAGCAACACATGTATGCTAAGGCCCTCGAGCACGGTAAACACATTGTGTACTCACAACATGTACAAACACCAAACTGGTCTACTCATGACAGCTGAGAGAAAAAGGAAGTAAACAGGTTCATTTCTGGTATTTTCCTCGTTTATTGCTACATACATCATGTATTCAACCATGCATACTCAGGGAGATCAAAGGTATAAAATACCGACGCAGTGGAAAAACACAGTTCCAGTGTAATGCGATTGCATTATACGTTGTCTATTTTCTCCACGCATACTCGTACGCTACATACACACGTACATACCTTTTGGTATGTATTAATACCCTGTGCACGTTTTTTTGTGTGTCGAAACAGAATATTAAATATGTAATATAACTTGATTCCTTGTGTCTATTTGGCATGTCATGAGATGTGGCAGTTTTGAACTGTGGTGCCGGCATGCCTCTGGCAAGACAGTGATGGAATGAGTGATGAGCTTCTTCGAGTCACCCAGCCTCGGTGGGAAACGGCCGATGTATTTAAAAAATAACCTTCAAACCTTGGCATGGGCTCAGTTTGAGACACTTGATAGGTCTGCGAGTACTTCAAAATTTTAATTTCAGTATTGGATCAGGGGATTAAAGACTAATGGTGTAAGTTTCTCTTAACTTTTATTGTTCCAGATAAAGGGTATAATGGTTGCAGATTTGAGGAGTAACTGCATGTGCAGCAGTTGGGCATCTTCATTGAAACGTTTCACCTACACAGTAGGCTTCGCTGTTGCATCTGTTGCTTCTATATTTTACTGAAGAAATAATAATGATGCCCATCTGTTCCACATGTCTTAGCTTGTCTGTATTTTATACCATGTTCAATACTGATGGAGTGCTAGTTAATGAGCCCTTGTATTTTTATTATAACGATAGTCCTTAATAGGTTTGATAATGACCCCAGTAAAGGAATAATAATGTTTGGAAGCAGCTTTACCTAATTATTTGATGCTAGAATATCGTTTCAGTTCTGTGGTAAGATTAAGTATAGTTTTTGCATAGGTATACTGTCTCTTTAATCTTTTTAATGTGAAGTATGCCTAACTAATATTTGTTTTTAACAGCAAGTTATGAGGGCCAGTGGATCAACATCTCTAAACTTGGAGACTACGACTGAGGGCAGTACTGAGGACAAGAGTGTTAGTGAGACAGAGTCATCTACTAGCACAAGGGTATGGAATCCAACTCATCAGACTGGGGCTTCGAATGTCACGCCGAGCAACAGTGATCGTCCACCACCAGCCTATCCTTGTCAAGAAGAATGCATACAGTGTGGCAAGAAAGTCCCAGACACGACTGTCAGTCATGTTACAACAAACCAACAGGTTATAGAATCAGATTCATATTGCATCTGCGAGTGCCACAAGCAAACTCTTCATAAAACAGAATCCTCCGGGCAAATCTCACAAGGACACATCCCACCAGCAGGTCCCCACTGTCTCAGTGGCTGTGGTTATTCAGGTCTTCCGTGTTACAACTGTAGTTTGCTTCAAGAACACCTACAACCACAGGGCTTGAGAACCACCGGAAACGAAGGCCCATCAAATCCAGCCCAGACATTTTCTCCGCAGATTTTTACAATTGAATTAATGGAGCATTCTTCAAGTTGTGTTCCAGGAGCAAGGTCAGTGATTCACCACCAACAGATAATTACAGAAGATAATAGTCAAGAGACGAGGAGAAGAAAAATGTGCTTCTCGATTGTGGTTTTTGTCATAGCAATTAATGTGTTCGTAGGCGTATTCAGAATGTTGATAGGCACAAGCACTTATTAATGTAATAATACCTGGCAAAATCAATTTAAAATATCTATGCAAAATGCAATAGTTTCATCATGGAATATTTTGGGTTCGAAAGATACTGTGGAAGATTAAGTTACTAGAGTACTGTATAATGTTGACATATCTTATGGACAAAACAATATAATTTTTTGCTCATGAGAACGTTTGTGTAGTCATAGGTGAGGGATCTTAGTTTCTGGAGTATTGGAGACCCTCTATCATGGCTCTCTACTTCTGGAGGTCTAGCCATGTAATAATGTACTTAAACCACTAGTTATGTGATATTTAGAAATTTTTGAGTTACATTATTGGATCTGTGCTCCAGTTCCCCGAATTAAGCCTGAATGCCTTCCACATATCCCCCCCCCAGGCGCTGTATAATCCTCCGGGTTTAGCGCTTCCCCCTTGATTATAATAATAATAATTTGAGTTACATTGCAAAAAAGAATATGAAGTTTCCGGGGTTCCATTGCAAGATGGCATATATAGCAATAGTCATTATAACTTGTGCTATTAGGTATTGGTGATGCAGAAATCTCATAAAATTTATCAATTTTTTATTGAAATCTGGGATCTGTACACCGGTAATTACTTTCATTAATTGTAAGGATGTCAGGACGGGCAGCAAATGAATGTCCAATATATCTGATCATGTCTCCTGTTTAGCTGAAATTTAATATCAACCTTTACTATCTGACTAAAATTTCGAACTTACACATTGGTTTAATCTGCCCTGTAGGCTGGAAGTTATGACAAAGGTCATTGAGGGTTGTGCTTGACCTCATCAGATCTGCATTTACATAGCAACAGCGAACGTATTCCATCCTAGGAAGTATAAACTACTGCATTTGTGATTACCTAGTGTTTTACAGAGTTAAACTTGTATCCTCTCTTCAGTATTTAGTGTATCTTAGTTACGAGTGATTGTAACACTCTTGTAGCTCATTCCATTGAGGTTCCATCCTACACAAGTGGTATGCACTGATCATTCCCAACATTAAATTATGTTGGTAAGATACAACTCCAGTGAAAATATTTTTTACTGGCAAAGTCTGTTAATTCTTGGCCTAATCGTTCCTTTAACGAGATCAAATTTGTGTAAAGATCTTGTGGGGTGATAAGTTTCACTAACAGTAACTTAAATTTTATGCCCAGGCTGAATATTCTGTAGAACTTTATATTAGGCAACCATAACGGAATGACTGGCCGACTGCCAATACATGGGGCAAAGCAGACACACTTGACAGTGTTTTGCAAAATGAGTTTTTGTGAAGTCCGGTAGAATAGAAGCAAAGTTTTGTGATGGACTCCAGCACAGTGGTGAAGAGGTGATGGAAGGTGTGGTGGTGGTGACAGATTAGCTGCAATACAACTTCGTATTTTCATTGCCTTAAAAAAGGATTCATTTATCCCCTACCGTTCCTAATACCTTATTCATCTGCAGTCCTACTTTGTTGCCTTTAATTCTTTCAGAAGTAACTCTACAACACTACTTGGTATTCTCACCAGGCTTATTAAACTATAATTCTTACATTAAAAAAACTGTTCATTTAGTAATAATCTGTGATTAGAGAATGAAGCGCAGTACAGAACTTGTGAAATAATGCCCGATGAAGGTCCCTCATGCTTATAATACTGTTTAGCATTTTAGAGCCCCTTCCCCTTTTCTCCCTTTTTGCCTAAGTAATGTGTGGGGTTAATGTCACTAAGATATTTGAAACTTTTGTTTTAGTAATTTCACGATAAAATTCTTCCTTGCTAAGGAAGAAATTGCAGAAACCATTCGAGATTGATAGAGATTTGGACACTGTCCTACATACTTTCCTATCATCCTGAGCCAAAGATTTTCATGAATCCACATCTGTGATAACTTCATTTTCACGTCTCATCCTCATTTCGCCTAACCCTTTAAGAGGAAGGTAATCTCATTTTTGGTCAGATTCAGACACATTTTGGTTGAAGATTGAATTTGTCTGTGTAGTTTCTTAATGTTTGTATTAATGTTCCAAAAATAAAATAAAAATTGTTAGATGTATAATTTCTGTAAATATTTTACTTGGTATTTTTCAAAGAATATATTAGTTGTACACTTAATTAAGAATATAAAAAAATGGCTGTGAAATCCCTTGCATCATAACATTATCTTGGCCTTGAAGATACAATGAAAAGATTAGGCATTGTGGGTAGTTGATATTAGCAGTTTTTTCTTGTATTGGCCACATTGCTGTTGGTTTAATTTTAGGCCTTAAATTATAAAGCTTATATCAAAATAGTTTAATAATTCTATCATTATAAAATTGGCAACTAGTATTGCTTATTTTTCTGAGCTGCTTCCTGCAGACTTCAAGCTTTGAGGTCCTCTCTAGTTCCTTGTCAAATGTTGAATTTACCTCATTTTAATGTCTTTAGCACATGCTCTGAGTGTTCGCTTCAGTATGTTAGTCAGATGTAGGTAATATCTATGAAATTAGTCCTTGTCAAAAACTAACTTATGCACTGTAACACTTTCCAGGAAAACTGGAGATGTGGAGGTTTTTAGTTGCTGGTTCATGTCCCACGGTGCTTAATTTTACTTACTGTATTGTACGTTTTTTTGATGCTGAAATTAGCAGTGCTTCTCTCTTTGAAACTATGGTCTTTGTGTAGTAAGTGCTGCAACCACTGGAAACTCTATAAAATAAATTTAAGTGACTACGTACTGAAGAGGGGACACGGTTAACTCTCGTTGCTTCAGAAAGTTCATCAGATACTTCATAGATTACTTTGTGGCATATTGAACTTTTAAGCTTCTAATTTATTTTTTCCTAATCTCAAAGCCTCCAGCAAGCTTGTGTGAAATGGTTAGATCAGAGTGGAGGTAAGTGGTTATTTTGTGACATGTGAACAGGGTAAGTTTCACGAAGGGATTCGGGGAAGCCAGTTACCCTGACTAGTGCTAGAAGTGGGCAATGTCTGCACTCGGAAGACAGCGAGGATGTTTCAGTCGGAGGGTCAACCGAGTTGCGATGTCAGCACACTTGTCGACAGAACTAAAATAAATGGTTAATAAGTTTTCTTCAGGTCGCTCTGCCTTAAAGGGAGACGACCGTTGAAGTGAAGACAAATGATAAAACTTCTCTTCCCAGTCTAGATAACGAAATTGAGCACAATACTTTTTCCTGTGATATTTTTTGGAGGCGCTGCAAATTCTTGTTAATACGTCAAGCTTGTCAAGGGGATATCAGAGGCACAATATTTGACGAGTCAAAATGGATATAAAACACTTGGACAATTTGTAACGGGATATATACTCGGAAAGGTATATTTCTCAGTATACATTCTGAGTTTACTCTAATCATTATTTTAGGGATAAAAGTATTCTTGTATGGTGATTAAAAAGTTACCTGCAGTCTTAATGACTGTAGTTAGTAAGCATCAGATTCCATTAACTATTGTAACACTAGCACATGAGTTTGGCAGTTCTTCACTCGTATTGGTTCCATTGTGGTAAAGGACCATTTTCTTGTTCAGGACATAAGGACTGATGGTTCCTTCAATAAATCTAAACTGGACTAGTGTGTCATTTTTCCACAGGTTGGTGTCACCATTGGTTACATCGTACACCAAATCCAGGAAAATAATGTCTGGCGTAGTAGCTTTGTGGCTAAAACAAAACTGATGGCGGTATTGTTTCTGAACCAAGATTTTATTTGAAGCAGAGTTGTGGCTTGAACGAGTGTATGACCCTTGTGGGTTTAGTGCCTAGTTCTGATTGTTATATTGTTATTTTGAGCGATGGTTAAAGGGTAGAATTGGTATCAATACAGCGTAGTCGGTAGTAGACAGAATGGAGCCGAAAGTGCTCCCTAAGCTACCTCAGGGAAAAAATTACTTACAGAATGGTTCCCATTTTTTTTTACGTGTACCATTGTGAAAGTAGGTAGGTGGCTGCACTGTCAAAGATGTCCTATGCACAAAGGCATGGCAGTACCTGCTCATATTTCAGTGTTTGTCTGGCCATGCCAGCAGGTGGTGGGAAGTCGTTAGCCTCGTTACTTCAAAGTATTGGAGAATTTTTCCCCCTGTCTGTTAACGCAGACAGGGGGGCAGACTCAACATTCACTCCGCTGGTAGAATCCAGAGTGCAGGTGAGCGAAAAAAATTGAAGGCAACACAGTTGAGTTACTGAGGTTAACAACGAGCTTAGATAAAATTTCCCGGAGGATGCTGAAACAAAAGCATCTGGCCAAGGAAACCAGCAACACCAGCATTTTAATTAAAATACCCCTAATGCAGAAGCACTATTTATACAAGAAAGATTACAAATCAGTTGTCATTGAAATTTAACTCTACTGAGGATTCGACTGCAGTGTGACTCCAGCAGTTTTTTCGAGATTGCCGAGATATTCTTATACATCACAAGCATCACCTCCATGGCTGGTTCGACCCTCGATGAAATAAAACAGGATACATAAATTAATGACTATAGGCTGTAAGGAGGCGGAAGTGGAAGTAGATTAGAGGATAAGATAGATTAGTTAGGATTTTTAACCCGAGGTAGGGAGGGTTAGCCACCCCAGGACTGTATGACCCTTGTGAGTTTTGATTGTAATAATACTAGCCACTCCGGATAACACAAAGTCAGTGCGTCATCAAGTATTGTCCTGGTTTCTATTGGGGTCACTAATATGAACTACTGCAGTTGTTGGGTAGACAGGAGGGGAAAATACTCGTGATCTTACCACAGTGACGTTCGGTGAAATTGTGTACAAGACAAGAGCGGCAAGTGAGACTTGTATATTTAACATGGTTCAGCGTTCCTACACATGAATAACATTATATATATAGGTATAAAATAATTCTAACTTGGTGCATCCCGTTGCCCTGAAAAAAAAGCGAGGAGTTAGGCCTGTTGACATGGGCGACACTTCTTTGCTAAGTTGCTGTGGGAAGTACTATCACAAACAAATTTTTTTAAAGGGGTGGCCAGGTAAGCCAGTGGAAGGCCTCAGTCAGATGACCAAAATTATCAGGAGACACTTGACCTATTTCCTGACAAACCTTACCTAACCAGACACAATTCTTAAAAAAAAAAAAACTAGGGTTGGGTATCCTTGGAAGCAGCACAGTAGAGGTTGGTGCATCACGGTTATGTATCTATAACCTGTCTGATGCTAATGTAGTATTAGAATTAAAAGACTGCATTTGATCTATCGAAAGAGGCGCGGTATTAACAGCCGAACCGTGGAACTGGTGGGTCTTGCACCTAGGGAAAGTGATTCTTAAAACTCGCAGGCCAGTGTGAGAGCTTGAGGTCTCGCCGTGCGTTCATACCCAACTTGTTTCCTGGTTTGTTTACAATCGTGCTATTACGATTTCCTGACCCCTCAAGGAAGGTTCCTTGATGTTGGTGAGGGGCTCTTGATTTAGGGAATTGGATCTGTGCTCCAGTTCCCCGAATTAAGCCTGAATGCCTTCCACATCCCCCCCCCCAGGCGCTGTATAATCCTCCGGGTTTAGCGCTTCCCCCTTGATTATAATAATAATAATACGATTTCCTGAGTCATGATTAACAGCCATTTCATCACTTACCCTGGTCTATCCCCTCTAGGGAGGCCCTTTAATTCCAGCGAGGGGCTCTTAATCCAAGTCCACTGCCCCGCTGCACTCCATGACCTAATAATCATCCCTCTCCCCCTTTCTACCCGGCGGCGCTGTATGACTCTTGTAGGTTTAGCGCTTCTTTATTATAATCTTAATCCAAGCAATTGGACGTTCCCTCGCCTTCCTTGGATCGAACCTGAATGCCTCCCAGGTACTATGATACCAATGGGATTAGTGCTTCCCCATAATCTACGCTTGTAGTTTCAGCTTAACACAACAAGGCAGAGGCAGGTCTGATGTATCAAGAATGATAGTGAAGGTCAGTCAGCACTCCTGGCAATACACACAATATATAAAGCACAGGAAAATCAAAGATGGAATTAGCAGCAAAAGAAGACTAATAAAACGATAGAAGTAAATACTATCATACCAAGCTGAAAATAAACATCAGGTAAAAATCACATTAAAATATCAAGAAGACTAAAAGTTGAGAGATCCCTGCAGGCACCCTGGTAATAAAAAAAATGACCAGAAATAATCGAGTCACGGTCCGGTGAGTGTGCTCTTTTGTTTGGGACCATGACTTCGTCGAAGCATAGTCAGCAAGGAGTTCTCGGTTGCTACTGCGCAGTAGCTGGAGAAACCACTTGTTAGATTGATCAGAGACGTAAACTTCTGATTACTGAATGATGGGGCTGGTAGGCACAAAGGAGGTTCTGTTAGCAGAACTTGGTAGGTAAGGCAGGGACAGGCCATGGAACTTCCTTAATACATCCTGTTTCGCGCCCCGTGATTATAATAATCTATTTCGCAATCACCTTAGCCAACCTGGGGGCATTTATTAGACTCGGAAGTGATTTAAATAATGTAACAGGAAAAATATTGTGCTCAATTCAATTATGAAGGTTGTTGAATTGTAGGTACAAGACATGTGGGAACCGATTCGTAAATGTCTTATCATAGTACAAGTGTCTTATCCACAACTTATCACAGTTCAGCCAGGTTTTGTAGTTTTCTTCTTAGTCATGTAAGGGTTATAACGTATATTTTTACAAATTCAGTACTTTGGCGTATCGAATATGTTGTGTCCACTTGTCAAACTGGAGACTTGCACCAGAAGTTGAACAACTTTAAACATTATCACTTCTATCAGACACTGCATCATTATGGGATCTTGATACAAAAAATTCTTCAAAACTTGTCTCATCTTTGGATGAAAACCTACTTAGACTAGCGGATGGTACCACTATGACCCCTCCTCCTCCTACTTCGCCTCACCTGACTACATTATATAAGCCACATCTACGGCCCTATGCTCTACATTCTACAAGATTGACGGACTAAACACATCGACTCCAGGCTGGGAACTGATTGCCTAAAACTCCTCTCCTTACACTTTTCTGCTTTGTATTGGACTGATGAAGCCACTGTGTGGCGAAACGTTTCCTCAACAAAGATTCCCATATGTTGCGTAAGTGTCTCAATCTTCAATAAGCTTCGTGTTTCAACACTTGTCAGTCATTTATTATGACGTTTAATATTGTAACCTGAATATTTCCATGAATGAGACCCTTTCTTTTTTCAATGCCTATCTTGACTACCAGCGCTGTATAGCCCTTGTGGCTTAGAGCTTCTTTTTGATTATAATAATAATAACTATCTTTAACTTATGCGTTTGATCGCATATCTAAACCATATACTTGTATCTAAAAGTACAAGTTGTCGTATTAGATAATCCATTCTAAGAACTTTAGTGGCACCGCAGCATTCATAGTGGATCCTTTTGCCCTGGCTTGATCTCATTATCTAACTCCCCGTGTGGTCTTCTTCCCTTACTGATAAACGAACCTAACTAAGCTTAAATAACATAAATTCCCTGAACAATAATGACACAATTTGCGAGGACTGGTTGCGTGTGTATAACGTGGAATGTTATTGTATTATAACATCGGCTGGCACCAAGGTAGAGCAATCAATAATAAAAGAAATATTTACCATCATAGGTTCTCTACACATATGCTGCTATGTATGATAATTCTATGTAACTGTATTTGAGTATACCTGAATAAACTTACTTATTGATTCAGTGTGTGTATCTTTCTGGCAACACCGTTGTGACAGTTCAGGTGACATTCCTAGCTGTAACAATACAGAAATAACCCGCATATAGTACTTATGACGACGTTTCGGTCCTACTTGGACCATTGACTAGTTGCGCTTGTGTGTGGTAAGTTAATGGTCTAAGTTGGACCGAAACGTTGTCATACCTTCTGTATGGAGGTTATTTGTGTATTGTCCTAATCACGGTATTATGCCCTTTTATTCTTTCTAACTGTAACGTCACGGTTTCTTCAGAATTCAAGCACTATACTTCTTTTTCCTAGTAATTCTACTTGACTGGTTTCCAAGAATCATTCCAATAAATTACGCTGCTCACCAGCAGCAGCAGCAGCAGCAACACGTCAGGTAACTAACAACCTGAGAGTTCCCACTCGCCCTCATCTACCAGTCTCGCACTCCTGGATATATTAGCCTGTTGTGAGTCCACTCCTGGATATATTAGCCTGTCGTGAGTCCACTCGTGGATATATTAGTCTGTTGTGAGTTCACTCGTGGATATATTAGCCTGTTGTGAGTACACTCCTGGATATATTAGCCTGTTGTGAGTCCACTCCTGGATATATTAGCCTGTTGTGAGTCCACTCCTGGATATATTAGCCTGTTGTGAGTCCACTCCTGGATATATTAGCCTGTTGTGAGTCCACTCCTGGATATATTAACCTGTTGTAAGTGCACTCCTGGATATATTAGCCTGTTGTGAGTCCACTCCTGGATATATTAACCTGTTGTAAGTCCACTCCTGGATATATTAGCCAGTTGTGAGTAAGGTTATATAATGCCAGCACCTTCCCAGTGTTAAACCTTGACGGTAAAAATGACTGTACACTGTAACTTAGCTTTCAAATGTTAATGTACTCTTATGATATTGTAATGGACATACACCATTAGTAGCCGAGTTTATTTTTAAGTTTGAAGTCTTTGTAGTGAAATTCCTGACTAACATATTGGTTTATGATGGAGAGTAAGGTATCTAATTTCGATTATTTATTGTTGAATTCTAAATTGACATTAGGACAGGTAGGAAAAATGGCAGCCATTTTGTTCCCCGCATGACGGGTCATGTCGAACATGTTCAAACTCATAGTTTAACGTTCGGATCATGAGCTTAGCATGTACAATGCAAAATTTAGAACAGTCAGTGACCTTAAAAATCTTGTATACATAAAGTACATCAGTAAGTAATGTAGATTATTTAAAAAAGTTATTTAGGAACTACGAAAACTCCTGTTACAGGTAATTTAGGCTCCATTAACCCTTGTTATATATCTAAATTAAGAACCATGAAGCTCATGTTGTATATAAACACGGGTAGAAAATTAGGCTTCATTACTGGGGTGTCGTACTGAGGCTTTAAGAATGTTATTGTGTCTCACGCTGAAACATTTGCAAACTCTTGTTTAAGCTGCGCAGCGCTGCATGACCCCGGTGGTTTAGCGCTTAGTTTTGATGATAATGATTAAGCTGCGTTTTAAAACATTTAGAGCAGTTTCCTTGCATGAAAGGTAGACACTGAGCCGGCACTTGGTAAGCCAGACATGTAGACAAGAGCAAGTCTTAAGACATTTATTTCATTGAGTTAGAGCTTTATCATACTCTCTAGAGTGTAATGTTTTTAATAAAGTCTTGTAAGACAGCATCACAAGAGTATCTTGTATCTTGGTTGATGTTGAGTTGGACGTAATCATTTAAGAGGCGCCTGAGTTTCCATCTCTCCTAATATCATATTTATTTTTTCTACTGTAATCGTATCATTACGATTTCGTGAGTCATAATCTACCTTGTCCATAATTACTATCACATTTGCTGTGTCTGTTTCGTAAGGTGAAGTCCAGGATCTTTCCTTAATTCATGGTATAACTTAACAAATCTTTGATGACAGTTGTGTTGCAGAGGTGTGAGCTTTGCTCAGGTAGATTTTAAGGGAAAAATAACGTTATTAGAAGACAGGGGAACTGACGTGCCTAGTGGCTAACGCGACGGGCTGGAGTTTTGAGACTCTATGACCGCGGGTTCAATCCCGGCCGGGGGTATGGTTTATTTGCAATCGTGTCATTACGATTTCTTGAGTCGAGTCGAGTGACGTGCCTCTTAAAGGCCCACCAATGGTAAACTTTTTATTTGGGTCGATGTTCCTGCAACATAGTGACTTGAAGGTATCACCATCGTTCATTCAATAGGTTTTTTGTAAGTATTGCATGCTGGCATAAATTTAAATGACCTTCCAACTGCAGCATCACCACCACATCCCTTGTAATGCAATGTACACATCTGAGAGAGAAATCATATAGGTTAACTTTTTTCATAACCTGAAACAGATGGTTTAGTTCCTTTACGAGGAGTTATTGATAAGGAATTATGTATTCTGTATATCCATTTTCCTGGATTCTCCCAAATGTTTAAGGTGCTTCAGGTGGGAAGTTTTGGACTCCCTCGACGTAATCTGTGATAATACATTTAACACTAAGTTTACAATATAACCAAAGATACGTGATAAGAGTAAGGTGCTCCAAGCTGCATTCAGACCTTTCAGTTAGGTTTGAAGCCTATCTACGACACTGTGGTCATTAAAACCAGAGTTGACCTGTACATTGACATCAAGACTAATTAAAATATACTGAGGTCAACTGTGTGTGTGTACACTGAGATATACACATCTCTGGGTACATATTCTCAAAAAACAGCGCTCTCTGACCCCTGTGGGTTTGGAGCTTAATTTGATTATAATAATGATTATAATAATACCTTTTAGAAAGGGATAAAATGCTCTTGATCCAATAAATCACAGCTACTCTATGGGAACAGAGGCTAACTTACCTACAGTCGCAGAGGACAGAGCCGGGGGGCAGGAGACTTGACTCTATCAGCGCTACGCTCTGTAAAACCAAAAATACAGCTGTAGCTCTATTTAAATTCCATGGCATACTGTAGACTACTCTGCATTTATTAAAAGTAGAGTACTGTAGAGTCTACAAAATCATTTCTTAGTAAAATCAGACTACCTCCATACGCTCTAAATTTCAAATTTACGTTAGATTGTGTTGCAGTTGAAGCCCAGCACTGTAAGACCCATGTAGGTTTAGAGCTTAGTTATGACTGCAATAATGCACTTGAAGCAGCGCTAAACCCATGTGGGTCATTCAGGGAGGGAAGGCTCGATCCAGCGTCCTTTCATCCAAGTCGAGGAAGAACGAGGCTGTGTCTAACGCGGAGCTCACGACGGTGGGACAGACAGGGAACTGGAAACACTGGGTGTAAGAACAAGCATTTGACTGGGACAACGTTGCGCTGTTTAGAGCTTTTATCATGCCTTAATATAACTCCTCAGTTAAGTATACCTAAGGCTCTACACAGCTCTATCATGATAAAGCTCCTCACAGTTAAGTATACCTAAGGCTCTACACAGCTCTATCATGATAAAGCTCCTCACAGTTAAGTATACCTAAGGCTCTACACAGACAATACACAATGTTCTTAATAACTATGGGTTTCGTTTTAATTGCTGGTGAGGGGCTCTTGATCTAGGGAATTGGATCTGTGCTCTAGTTCCCTGAATTGAGCCTGAATGCCTTCCATGTCCCCCCCACATGCACTGTATAATCCTGTGGGTTTAGCGCTCCCCCATGATCATATAATTGGTTTTAATTATAATCTGAATAACCATGAGCTGTCATGCCCTATAAAAAATTATATTGAAATATGTGTGTATTGTATATAATATATATATATATATATATATATATATATATATATATATATATATATATATAAAGGTGTAAACGGAGCAAGAGGTCTCTCTGAGAGCTTGTTTATGAACCTGTGTGTTGGTCACAGTTCTTCAGTGTTCAGCTGATAAACACAGACTCACTGTAAGACGGATGTTCTTGGCTAGTGTTGTCTCTGCCAGGGAGGCGAAGGGCTTGTCAGCGCCCCAACACTCCACATATTTGGTCATCTTTGTGGCGGTCTTGAGACGAGGGCGATCTTCACCCACACCAACAGCACCTCCGTCACCCTCGTCTTCCTAAGGGAGAGAGAGAGAGAGAAGTATTCTTAAAGGAGAATAGGCACAATACACGAATAACTTATGACGACGTTTTGGTCCAAAATCTGTCCGAAACGTCGTTATAAGTAGTTTCTCCTATGTTCGGGTTATTTGTGTATTGTTCCAGCCACGGTATTGTGCCTTTTAATTCTTTATAGGCACAATATCATGGCTGCAACATTTCACAATTAACCCACAATAACGTGGCAACAATAATTTACAACCCACAATACTCTAGCTGCAGTAATTCACAACTAACCTACAATACCGTGCTTGGAACAATTCACAACTAACCTACAATACCGTGCTTGGAACAATTCACAACTAACCTACAATACCGTGCTTGGAACAATTCACAACTAACCTACAATACCGTGCTTGGAACAATTCACAACTAACCTACAATACCGTGCTTGGAACAATTCACAACTAACCTACAATACCGTGCTTGGAACAATTCACAACTAACCTACAATACCGTGGTTGTAACTAACCCACACAAGTATATTTAAGAAGACGTTTAAGTCCTCAGGATTACTTGTGAATTGATTATATTCACTAATACGTGGGAATTATGGAAGATGGTTTAGCACCTGTGTTAACTGTTAGTTAGGTGAAGATGAATGGTTTGTTCTGTAAGGAATCAGGGCTCAAAGAGCAAGTAACTTTTAAGAGTAGGAACCAACCTTGACTTAGGGAAAGGACCCACCTTGATCTGGGGTAAGGTCTACTACGGCTACAACTCCATTACTGTTACTACTATTGCTTCCCTTCACTCCGCTTTCTACCTCTTGTACCACTAAAATTACTCCCCCTACTTTCTACTCCTACTACTACTACTACTACTGCTTCCACTACCCGCTTTACCATTACTTTTTCCTCCTCTCGTGTTCCCGTCCCTGTCCCCTCCCCTCACCTATATATACTGGCTCTCTCACTCTTTTGTGTTAGTGTGACTTTGTACATGATCCGAGATGGACTTATACGTCGTTGTGAGCTTCTGTGTGTGGGTTACTTGTGTATCACCCACCTTGCTTGCGACGACCAGGAAGGTGTCGACCTTGTGATCTGCCAAGTACTGGTCCCTCAGGTAGCCCTGGCCTGGCTCCACCTGGAACTTGTCATCCAGCTGGTTGAGAGTCGCCCTGGTGATGTGCACCCTCCTGTTACAGTTGGTTACGCTGTTACTATGTTACCAGCTTGGCTACCAGTTATAGGAGTTCTTACAGTATATAAACTGTCCTAGTAGTGGTGGTTACCATCGATGGTTATGTGGTTGAAGTCCTGCTATCACCCGAGGTTCATTAAGGTTAGCATGTCACCTGTTACAACACCAGCGAGAATACTTTAGCACCTGAAACAGTGATTAAACTCATCTGTGTATAAAGTGAGACACTTCTCGGTGTATAGTGAGAGACATACACCTCTCCGTGTACAAACACTGAGAGACATACTCCTGGGTATACAAACACTGAGAGACATACTCCTGGGTAACAATAAAACCACCTGTGTACAAACACTGAGGACATACACCTGGGTATACAAACACTGAGAGACATACACCTGGGTATACAAACACTGAGAGACATACACCTGGGTATACAAACACTGAGAGACATACACCTGGGTTACAAACACTGAGAGACATACACCTGGGTATACAAACACTGAGAGACATACACCTGGGTATACAAACACTGAGAGACATACACCTGGGTATACAAACACTGAGAGACATACACCTGGGTGTACAAACACTGAGAGACATACACCTGGGTATACAAACACTGAGAGACATACACCTGGGTATACAAATACTGAGACATACACCTGGGTATACAAACACTGAGAAACATACACCTGGGTATACAAACACAGACATACACCTGGGTATACAAACACTGAGAGACATACACCTGGGTATACAAACACTGAGACATACACCTGGGTATACAAACACTGAGAGACATACACCTGGGTATACAGAAACTGAGACATACACCTGGGTATACAAACACTGAGACATACACCTGGGTATACAAACACTGGGAGACATACACCTGGGTATACAGACACTGAGACATACACCTGGGTATACAAACACTGAGAGACATACACCTGGGTATACAAACACTGAGAGACATACACTTGGGTATACAAACACTGAGAGACATACACCTGGGTATACAAACACTGAGAGACATACACCTGGGTATACAAACACTGAGAGACATACACCTGGGTATACAAACACTGAGAAACATACTCCTGGGTATACAAACACTGAAAGACATACACCTGAGTGTACAAACACTGAGAGACATACACCTGGGTATACAAACACTGAGAGACATACACCTGGGTATACAAACACTGAGAAACATACTCCTGGGTATACAAACACTGAAAGACATACACCTGGGTATACAAACACTGAGAGACATACACCTGGGTATACAAACACTGAGAAACATACTCCTGGGTATACAAACACTGAAAGACATACACTGGGTATACAAACACTGAGAGACATACACCTGAGTGTACAAACACTGAGAGACATACACCTGGGTATACAAACACTGAGAGACATACACCTGGGTATACAAACACTGAGAGACATACACCTGGGTATACAAACACTGAGAGACATACACCTGGGTATACAAACACTGAGAGACATACACCTGGGTATACAAACACTGAGAGACATACACCTGGTATACAAACACTGAGAGACATACACCTGGGTATACAAACACTGAGAGACATACACCTGGGTACACAAACACTGAGAGACATACACCTGGGTATACAAACACTGAGAGACATACACCTGGGTATACAAACACAGAGACATACACCTGGGTATACAAACACTGAGAGACATACACCTGGGTATACAAACACTGAGAGACATACACCTGGGTATACAAACACTGAGAGACATACACCTGGGTATACAAACACTGAGAGACATACACCTGGGTATACAAATACTGAGAGACATACACCTGGGTATACAAACACTGAGAGACATACACCTGGGTGTACAAACACTGAGAGACATACACCTGGGTATACAAACACTGAGAGACATACACCTGGGTATACAAACACTGAGAGACATACACCTGGGTATAGAAACACTGAGAGACATACACCTGGGTGTACAAACACTGAGAGACATACACCTGGGTATACAAACACTGAGAGACATACACCTGGGTATACAAATACTGAGAGACATACACCTGGGTATACAAACACTGAGAAACATACACCTGGGTATACAAACACAGAGACATACACCTGGGTATACAAACACTGAGAGACATACACCTGGGTATACAAACACTGAGACATACACCTGGGTATACAAACACTGAGAGACATACACCTGGGTATACAGAAACTGAGACATACACCTGGGTATACAAACACTGAGACATACACCTGGGTATACAAACACTGGGAGACATACACCTGGGTATACAGACACTGAGACATACACCTGGGTATACAAACACTGAGAGACATACACCTGGGTATACAAACACTGAGAGACATACACTTGGGTATACAAACACTGAGAGACATACACCTGGGTATACAAACACTGAGAAACATACTCCTGGGTATACAAACACTGAAAGACATACACCTGAGTGTACAAACACTGAGAGACATACACCTGGGTATACAAACACTGAGAGACATACACCTGGGTATACAAACACTGAGAAACATACTCCTGGGTATACAAACACTGAAAGACATACACCTGGGTATACAAACACTGAGAGACATACACCTGGGTATACAAACACTGAGAAACATACTCCTGGGTATACAAACACTGAAAGACATACACCTGGGTATACAAACACTGAGAGACATACACCTGAGTGTACAAACACTGAAAGACATACACCTGGGTATACAAACACTGAGAGACATACACCTGGGTATACAAACACTGAGAGACATACACCTGGGTATACAAACACTGAGAGACATACACCTGGGTATACAAACACTGAGAGACATACACCTGGGTATACAAACACTGAGAGACATACACCTGGGTATACAAACACTGAGAGACATACACCTGGGTATACAAACACTGAGAGACATACACCTGGGTACACAAACACTGAGAGACATACACCTGGGTATACAAACACTGAGAGACATACACCTGGGTATACAAACACAGAGACATACACCTGGGTATACAAACACTGAGAGACATACACCTGGGTATACAAACACTGAGAGACATACACCTGGGTATACAAACACTGAGAGACATACACCTGGGTATACAAACACTGAGAGACATACACCTGGGTATACAAATACTGAGAGACATACACCTGGGTATACAAACACTGAGAGACATACACCTGGGTATACAAACACTGAGAGACATACACCTGGGTATACAAACAGGAACATACACTTCTCGGTGTATATTCTTGTGTCACTTTGTGGTTCAGTTTTAATTATCCTCTTAAAATTTTATTAATACCAGAGAGAAAATTTCGTCTACTCTTATGGTAAATTTTAACCTAACCTTCACGATTTTGTTGATGGTAAAATACGAAAAAAAAATCCTCACACATATTAGAATAAAAATTGAATTTGGAACTGAAATTTTTTGAATACAGTTAAAAACATAGGTAAAAAAATATTTTTTGAAAAATTATCCTAAAGTTTACACACACACACACACACACACACACACACACACACACACACACACACACACACACACAGTGATGATAAAGCACTTGGAGCAGGGAGAGAGTGGACTTAGTAGCGACCAGTGAAGAGGTGGGACCAGGAGCTATGACTCGACCCCTGCAAGCACAAATAGATGAATACACACACACACAGCCTCTCTGACAGCACAGGTCCTCCACATGCCCATGTGATCCTGCCAGCGCCTGATAATCCTCGCTGATCCTGTGGTCAGCGAATTAGGTCCAAGACATGTGGACTTCACGGAATCCTCTGTGGTCTCCTCCCTAAGTCCTTTGGTGCTTCTCCCCGTCAAAACCCCAGTGGCTTCTAGATCCTACTCCCCCGCCCTCCCCAGCAACCCTTCTGTGGCGCTCACAGCTGGCGTCTCCTTCAATAGAATTACGTTCCCGCCCACAATAACTGGTGGTGGTGGTACCTACTGTACTGGACGTTCCCGCCCACAATAACTGGTGGTGGTGGTACCTACTGTACTGGACGTTCCCGCCCACAATAACTGGTGGTGGTGGTACCTACTGTACTGGACGTTCCCGCCCACAATAACTGGTGGTGGTGGTACCTACTGTACTGGACGTTCCCGCCCACAATAACTGGTGGTGGTGGTACCTACTGTACTGGACGTTCCCGCCCACAATAACTGGTGGTGGTGGTACCTACTGTACTGGACGTTCCCGCCCACAATAACAGGTGGTGGTGGTACCTACTGTACTGGACGTTCCCGCCCACAATAACAGGTGGTAGTGGTACCTACTGTACTGGACGTTCCCGCCCACAATAACTGGTGGTGGTGGTACCTACTGTACTGGACGTTCCCGCCCACAATAACAGGTGGTGGTGGTACCTACTGTACTGGACGTTCCCGCCCACAATAACAGGTGGTAGTGGTACCTACTGTACTGGACGTTCCCGCCCACAATAACAGGTGGTAGTGGTACCTACTGTACTGGACGTTCCCGCCCACAATAACAGGTGGTGGTGGTACCTACTGTACTGGACGTTCCCGCCCACAATAACAGGTGGTAGTGGTACCTACTGTACTGGACGTTCCCGCCCACAATAACAGGTGGTGGTGGTACCTACTGTACTGGACGTTCCCGCCCACAATAACAGGTGGTGGTGGTACCTACTGTACTGGACGTTCCCGCCCACAATAACAGGTGGTAGTGGTACCTACTGTACTGGACGTCCCAGGCACCGGAAAACCGTATTTCGTGGCCTTAACGTACGTTAGGTTAGAATGTTATTGTTGGTCGCAACTCTGACGTTACAACAGTTGACATTCGACAAAAAATATTGATCTTCCTAAATTGAAACAAAAATGGAATTTGCTAAAGGTTTTTTTTTTTGAGAAATTTTAAGAAAAACGTGAAAATGTTGATAAATATTAAGTTTT